GAATGAAAGAAAGAGAAAATGAGAAAAAGAGGGAAAAAATGAAGATTGGGATGTAAGAGAAAGAGAAAGAGAGAGAGAGAGAGAAAGAGAGAGAGAGAGAGAGAGAGAGAGAGAGAGACATTTAATTGATTTTATTTCTGGGTAGCTGTAACTGTCAAATCTGCAGTTAGTATCTCGAACGTTTTGCATTGCTCCCCTGTCAATGTTATCTGCTCTTCTGACCTCTCGCTGCATTTGCCAAGCCAGGCCAGAGTTCTTCGGAATTAATGTGGGCAGAAAAAAAACAAAATAACAATAATCTGATTATAAAAAAATATTTCATTTTAATAATAATAATAATAACAATTTAAAGGATGATAATAAAATTGGTAATAAATAACAAAAAAGTTAAAACGATGAACAAAAAGATAGATAAATTTTCTGTTGTCTTTTGCCCTTTCAATAATTGCCACGTCTGCCATTCACATTATTATTATTTTTATTATATTATTATTATTGTTGTTGTTGTTATTATTATTATTACTTGAGATTTCAGCGTTGTTGTTGTTGTTCCTTGTTCTTCAATTGGTCCGGTTGAATCGTGCGGACGTTTTGTCATTAATTGAAGTCTAGCAGATGAAATTTACTTTGGGTTGTTTTTTTATTGTTTCTGTGCTTGTTGTTCCCCTCCTCCTTCTTTTTCTTCTTTTTCTTCTTCTTCCTCTTTTTCTCATTATTATTATTATTATTATTAATGCTATTATTGTTCTTCTTATTATTACAAACATTTTTTGGCCAATTTGTATGAAGTGAACATCTTCATAACCATAGTAATACACACTGGCATAACTACATCAATACCAGTACAACATCATTACAACAAATAAGAATACAGCAACTAAAATACAACAACAACAACATAGCAATACAAACATGACAATTGTACAGCTAGATTTACAAAAAAAAACTCTAATCCAACAGCATTATAACAACATTACAACTACGAAACAAGACAACAATACCGTAATACAATACGACAATACAACAACAACAATAACCAAACAACAATTCAGCACCATTCAAATATCGATTGAATGTTTTGCTACATAATGACACATTCGTTTATTCGATTGCTGCTATTGGTTATTATTATTATTGTTGTTGTTGTTATTATTATTGTTGTTGTTGTTTGTTATTGTTATTATAGTTTGACATTTCAGCCATCATCATTAAAAGAGTTATTACATTTATTGTCATTAACATATTAACAAGTATTTAATAGTAGCAACAATCAATAAATACACAAGCATACACATACACATATACCCATACATACAAATACACACATCACATATCAACAACAATACATGCATACACCCACATCTATAGACAGGTAGAGGAAGAGAGAGAGAGAGGGAGAGAGAGAGAGGAGAGAGAGAGAGAGAGAGAGAGAGAATCATTTCACACATACACAAACACAACAAACACACATGGACACAACATCCCAAAACACACTTACCTGCACAGATGTTCAAAAAATATTATGACGTCAACAGAAAAACGTCATACGTGTTGCTTCGTCATTGGCTATTCAGAAACGAAATTGATTGATTTTTTCTACTTCCGCTCTGTCACATTAAACATTGGTAGCTTTTACATACACACACACACACACACACACACACACACATCTAGGTTCTACACGTGCATAATTCAAATTTAATGATCCGTATTTATCTTTTTTATATCTGTGCCATTTTGCCATTTCAACTTGTCTCGGTGTCTCAACTTTTGTCTCAACTTTTGTCTCAATGTTTAGTTCTTGTCTCAGTTTGTCTCAGTTGAAATATTGATTGATGTTTTAGCATGTTTTTCATGTTGAACAAGACTTTTATGTTAAAATGTTTGCCGATTCTTATTCAAATTTTTGTGTAGAATTAATTACTTCTAATCACAATCCTTACAAATGTTTTACAATTTCATTAATTTATAGAATGTGGAGATTACTAGAGACATGAACAAACAACTGCAAACATGCGAAAAAATATTCAGACAGAAAGAACAAACAGTTAGACGCACAAACAAACGTACGAACAAACATACAAACGAACATGCAAACGAACGAACGAACAAACAGACGAACAAACGAGCGAACAGATAGTTAAAAATAAGATAGAAACAATTCGAAAATTCAGACCAGATGTCGTTTGTTGATCGATGCGACGCAGTCAGAATGAGGAAAAAAAACTAGCATATACTAAATACAACTAACTTCTCATCCACTTGTTTACTCTATGCTATTTCTTTTTGTATTTTGTATTTTAACTGTTTGCAAATTTGTATTCATGTTTCGAAATCCAAAGCAAACATTGCATCTAAAGTTTTACTGTACGTGTGTGTGTTTAGCGTGTGTGTGTGAGAGAGAGAGAAATAGATAGAGAAAGAGAGAGAGAGAGATAGATAGAAAAAAAAAGAGTGAAAAATAACGAGAGAGAGAAAGAGTGAGAAATAACAAGAGAGAAATAGAAAGAGAGAGAGGAGAGAGAGAGAGAGAGAGAGAGAGAGAAAGATGACAATGTTGATGATGACGGCGATGATATCATACGTTTAATTGTGCATTTATTTACTTTCATTACGATTTTTATAACTACTCGTTTATTTGGGTCAAAATATATAAATGAATAATTTATAATTCTTCTTTCGGCTTCTGCTTTTTGACATTTTTTTACTTACAAAATATAAATACACATCGTTGCGTTTTTTTACCTACGCTTCATACATTTAGCAACAATGGCGTATATGAAAATTAATAATGCTGGGTTGATTGTTGGAATTAATATGATTGATGTAGTTACTGTTATCTGTAGATCTTATATGTTATCTGTTATGCTGCCAACATGCCAATGTTTAATTACAAATACTGCTTCCATATGCCAAACAATCCCTACTTAGATGATGGTTTAATTAATTGAATGGGTTTATCAGCTATTGTTTATTGTATGCTTATTGTAAATACTGTTGGTTTAAACATGATATTCAAGTATCACCATCTTTGTTACCATCACGTGGGCTGACGTCATCGTCATCTTCACGGACGTTTTCATCATTGCTGAGGTCATCATCTGTCAACATCCGTGTCATTGCCATCGTTACCGTCATCATCATCATCAGTGACATCATCGTCACATCACTCACATCATCATCATTTTCATTCATTTCTTCGACCCTGACCTTCTCATCATCATCATCGTCGTCATCATCATCATCGTCATCATCACTGTCTTCCTCTTCTTCATCATCATCGTCGTCGTCGTCATCATAATCATTATCAATCACCATCATAACCGATGAGCAACCGGACAGATGTTATTGAATTATTTATATTAATAATCCCGTCTCATCCGACCGAACATTTAATAATTATTTCTCAATTCGATGGATGCATGCATGCATGTAAATTTATTTCATGAACGGCCAATGAATGAATGAATAGTTTGCAATAAAAGTTTGCTTGCTTCACACGTGTTTCTCACTGTGTATTGTTCGCTTTGTGTGCTTGCGTGTGTGTGTCGTGTGCGTGCGTGTGTGCGTGCGTGCGTGTGTGTGCAGTGTGTGTGTGTGTGTGTGTAATTTTAAATTTATCTGCTATTGACCGTTTTATGTTCATTTTTCGTCGCTCACACATCGATCAATAGTAATGATCAATAATTGATGCCCATGCAGCCATATTAAGTTTATTTAAAAATATTTTGAAGGCTCGTGTATGCATCAATTTTGCGTACAGATTTTGTTTTTTTCTACTGCACTCTTCTTAAATTGAATGCTTTGTACTTCAATTTTAATCGTTTAGGAATATTTGCACCACCATTGGCCTTGCAATATTATCTGTAATTTTATGATGGAAATAATTTAGTTTTAGGTTATTTTATTTAAACATTTAATTCAAGTATTTTTGTTGAAACAATAAACTCAATTCGTATGTTGAATTTAAATTTTTAAACATTTCCAACAGGATGACATCAAGATTGACCAGTCACAGACCGAACACGTTCAACCTGCCATTCCGAATAAATTTCGTATCCGACCCACTGCCCACCCTGCCGACGCCTGACTCTCTACCCGACCTGGAAAAGGCATTTGGTGCAGTAGTGGAAGAAGAAGAAGACATCGAGACGAGAAGTTCCAGTGAAGTAGCAGCCATTGAGGAGAACATTAAAGCGCATTCTAAAGTATTTTCTGGATTTGATCTGGACCTGTCCATGCTTTCTCCTGAAGATCATCCCGATTTGAATTTTTCTCCCTCCGATCCTCTCAACTCTCCCAGCGCTCTCATGAATTTCATTCTCGGATCGAGTTCTAACTTACTAGGCAGCAACGCAAATTTGATGGGTAGCAATTCTAACTTAGTAGCCGGCAACTCTAGTTTGTTGGGGGGTAGCAACTCAAATCTGCTGAGCAATGGTTCGAGTCTGCTGGAGAGTAACTTAGGTTCACCGAATGGCAACATAAACATTTTAACGACAGCAAACAGCGGCGGCACTCAACACAAATCTGACGCAATCGACAATTTTTCATTAAAAATCAGCACTTCAACTTTTCCAAAATCGGAATCAGGCAATCGCAAGCGACCAATTTCTTCGATCATAGGTGACAAATTCCTCAACAAAATGATGAAAGAGAGTTTTGGAAAAAACGATGACGACGACGACGATGATGACGACGACAGCGACGATAGCTTCAAACCCAGTGTCCACCATGAAAAAGAAGTCAACAAATCAAAATCATCATTGAATCTGAGTCATTTCATCTTCAAGAGTGATTCTTCAGAAACAACAAACAAGAAGAAAAAATCGAGTCCAACAGCAGCAGAAAAATCTCGCGCCAGCAATTTTGTGAACAGCAACGAAGAATCGAACGAATCCAGATCAAACGTCACATCATCTCAAAACTTGAACAAAATTTTCGACGAGAAGACACATTCGAGCAGCAAAAGAGGGAGGAAGCCGAGGAGGGAGAGGAGTCAGCGGCGGTTGGAGAGCAACGAGAGGGAGAGGCATCGAATGCATCTGCTGAACGACGCATTTCAAGAACTCAGAGAAGTCATTCCACACGTCAGGAGTGGCAGGAAACTCTCGAAAATTGAAACGTTGACACTCGCTAGAAATTTCATCAAAGCACTGACGAACGTCGTTTGCGAGATGAGGGGCGAGGAGATGCCATACGCCGACATCATCGCCGACAAAAGCAGCAGCAACCAAACTTGCACCTCTAGTCAGCAAACAAATTCTCTGGAGAGCCTCTTAAATGATGACGCACGGTCCCCAGACGTTTCATCAACATCCTTCCTGAATATAAACTTCACTCAAGATCTGATCCAGGCTGCTGGTGTTGCTAAGAAATGAAAATAATTTAATTAGAGAGGTCAAATCCGCAATTATGGTTCTGCAACGAATTGTTAGATGAAAATTATTTAAATTTATTTGAAATTATTTGAGAAAATATTTTGCCGAACGATGAATGAAATCAAGCATAATTCGCATACACGTACCGATTGAACGATTTTTCATAAATAATCCTCTGAAAATTAATAGTGAGAGAGAATCAGAGTGCGGTTTATAATAATGTATGGAGAGATGATATTTTGTCAGATTCAATAAATAAATCATTTCAAGGCATTAAACAACGTCCCAACTTAATCTTCCTATTAAATTCTCGGAACGATAATTCAGAATTGACCATCGTTCAGTCCATTAGCATAAAGAATGTCTGTCTGTGAGCCTGCGGATTTAAATCTTTGCAAGAGAGAGATCCCACATCCTACGATCACAGTATGAAGGACAAACACCTTCATTTTTCAAATAAGAAGAAAACAAATAAGATGCGTAACGATGCTGGGCTGACAATAATAATTAATTGAAAAATATATCTCTTCAAAATCAAACTTTTAAAGTAAAGCGAGAATGATTGTTGCTCAAGTCTGGTGATGTTTGGAGAAATTAATCGCATGGAAAAGATATATTCATTCGGAAATACCACTTCATACCGCAACACTTATTGAAACTTTGAACATTCAACCACTGATTGGAGTTTAAAGAAAATTAAATTTAAAAATAAATTTCAAATAAAGATCAACGAGAAATTAATTCAACCAACTGCTAATTAGCGAAAAACAAATTCGCCTGCAATTGCATACATATATATTCATGTACATTTTGACATTTTGAATACACGGATGTACACACACGCGCGCACACACGCGCGCACACACACACAAGTAGGTGTGTTCAGGATCAGAAGAAATTAGTTTTTATTCTGAAAATATGCATTCCATTATTAGAATTACCTTCCTCCAAATGTGTCAGTCGACTATCAGTTTAAAAAATTTCAAGTGATGTTACACACACACACACGCACGTGAACACACACACGCGCACACACGCGCACATATAATTATCATAATTATTGTATTATTTAAGAAAATAATAATTTCTCAATTGAATATTTTTCTGTCTTAAAAAATAAACGCTCATAAGATATTTTTTTGCCTCTGGTAGGATGGATCTTATGTTGAAAAAAAAAATGCATTAACGTCAGGAGGCGTTACTGCAAGTTGTTGGGAGAAACTAAATTACCTGCATGCATAAGATATCTGTGTGTTTATGTACACGTAGCTACGCATACATTCACACATACATTCACACATACATTCACACATACACTGTTTGGATTACATACATATAGTATATATATAAAGACTATATATATATATATATATATATATATATATATATATATATATATATGCATGTGTGTGTGTGTGTGCGTATGTGTGCGTGCGTGCATTGCAACAGTGTGTAAAGTTTTATCCTTGTATGTCATGTCATGCATTATTATTATTATTATTATTATTATTATTATTATTATTTACATTATGATTATTATCGTTGATGTTGTTTTTGTTATGGTTGTTGTTGCGTTTTTGTTGTTGTTGTTGTTTTAACAAAATTGTAAGGTAACAACCTACTTTCCAAGCTTGTCAATAGCCGAAATTAATTTTTTTCCCGGAGATTAATAAATAAAAAACACGTACCTACTGATTAAAAGTACTTAGTTCATTGCACGCATATACTAAAATACAAGCATGAAATATGTGAGATATATATGTGTATATGTACATATATACATATGTTAATACACACACACACACACATACGCAAACAAACAAACACGAACACGCACACACATGACGATGACAATGGTGATGATGTTAATGTTAATGATGACGATGATGATGACAGAAAGAATTTTGACAAGGAAAGCATAATCACGTCCAGGGAAAAATTGTTGATGACACTTAAGTTGTAAAGAATAAGAGAAAAGTGAGTAAAAGAACATTCCAATGGTAACAGATAGATGAGGATGGTGATAGAAATGTGATGAAAAAAAGTATTATGGCTTTTAAAAGGATGATGACGATGACATTGTTGTTGATGACGATAATGATGGTGATGATGATGAGGAGGATGATGATGATTGTGATGATGATGATGGTTGTGAAGCTGATCGTGATAATGATGAAAATGATGTTGGTGATGTTGATATTGATGATAATAATGAGGATGATGATGATGATGATGACCAATAATGAGAAAACTAATTTGATCTCAGTAGATAAATTTTTTAATTTGGAAAATGTTTGTACGTGGAATAACTTAATAACTGATCTGATATATGTGTCACATCATCACATTATCATCATTTGCACTTGTTTATTATCAAAATAACAATAATAATAACAATTAGTTATTATTATTATTACTATTCATCATTATAACAGTTGTGTGTTGTTATGATAATCAATAACTAATGATGATAGTGATGATGATGATGATGATGATGGTGGTGGGAATATCATTATCATTAAGACGATAATGACGATGATGCTAACGATAACCATGATGTAGATAACCATCATCTGCTATCCTTATCACCATCATTCTCATATCATCATCATCCCTCATCATCATCACCATCATCGTCCACATATCATCATCACCACCATCATCATAACCATCATCATCATCATCATCATTGTTTTCGTCACACTTGCTATCATCATTATTGTAATGTAAACATTAGCAAATGATTAATCTGTTTAACATAACGTTGCTAATATGTTAAAATTGATTGATAGCTAGGTAAAGTATGTGTTTGTGTGTGTGCATGTGTGTTTCTCTCTCTCTCTCTCTCTCTATATATATATATATATATATATATATATATATATATATATAAAGAAACTATATGAACGAAACCTGCCTGAAGATGATTTGTGAAGAATCGAAATAAAGCCTATCTGCAGGATGAATTCGGATAACAACAGTTCCACTGAAATCCCATGATGGACTTAGATAGTAATTTGAACATTTTTTAAAAATCTAGCAAGGAAATTTGAAAAGACAAACTTCAAACTGATTAATGTCAACAATTCGGTAGAATTCATACAATACTGTATAAAATATGGTCTCCTTCCAACATATATATATATATACATATATTTATATATATATATATACATATATATATACATAATTTTATAATTATATACATATATACACGCGCATATATATATATATAATGTCTTTTAAATTATATTGTGGCTTAATGTTATTTATTGCTTCAAATGGCCGTTTTAATTTTTCGGCAAACAGTAAAGTTAAATATACATGCATTCATACATACATACATACATACATGCACACACACACACATACGTACATACATACATACATACATACATACATACATACATACATACATACATACATACATACATACGTACATACATACATACATACATACGTACGTACGTACATACATACACACACACACACACACATATACACACAGATATACAATGACTTGACCTGTTTATGAGTTTTTCTTAGAGCCTGTATCTGTACGTTTCTATATATGGGAGTTACCTTGTATGTATATATTTATTGTATGTATGTTTGTATGCATATATATATTGTATATATGTTTGTATGTATGTTTGTATGTATTTTAGTATGTATATCTATATACAAAATTTTTTGTATGAGACCATGTATAGTATATGTAAACATCTGGGCATAACATGATATGGTAGACTTATAATTTATGGATGTCGTTCCTTTCCATTGTGGAGAGCTATTTTTTTCTTTACAATGTTCAAAATACATTAATGTACGTATACACATACGTATATGAATGTATGTGAGTGTGTGTTTGTGTGTCTGTGTGTGTGTATAATTGTACAAATTTGTATTAATGTTTTGAGAACATTTTTTAAATGTTTTACAACATAATACATATACATTATGCTAACCAGAAGTAATGTGAAACAATACTAAATTATTTTTGCCATAATCGTCCTTTGGTTTTAATTTACATTTTTTTCTGTTACAATAATGTTTTTTGTTTGATTAGTCCAGTTTTTCAACTTCCATTTTCAATTTTTTTTTAACTTAAATTTCGGCTAAATGTTTGTTCGTTTGTTAAAAATTGATGTTGTTGCTAATTGCATGTGCGTGTGTGTGTGTGTATGTGTGTGTGTACGTGTGTGCAAACATGCATACATTATTTACTGCCTATGTAAAACAACAAGATCTTATTTGTAAATGTGAACATGTAAACGAGATGTGTGTTAGTATGTTTATGGTGAGTAAATATGCGATAAATGGAGATCGCAATTGTCATTTTTTTCAATTTTCAAAAATGAATGGCTGGTTGTTTGGCTAATCAAATCGGTTGGATTTTTAGTCGATTGGTCAGTCGGCTGGTCAGTTAGTTGGTCAGTCGCCTGGTCAGTCGGTTGGTCAGTCGGTTGGTTGGTCAGTTGGCAGAAATTTTGTGGTATATTCCAAACTGCTGTTTCATCATATTTTTGTAAAGAAAAATGTTTCTATTTTCATATCCTTTTGCCGTTTTTCAATTTTGTTGATGTTGTTCGAATAAAAAAATTAAATGGTTTAACTAGTGTCAACCCTCAGACACACACACACCACACACAGACACACACACAGACAAACACAAACACACAAACACATGTATTGTAAACACGTTTTTAAATAATGACCATCTTGAAATTGAATCACGCATGTTATCCAACGTAGAGCACCAAAACACACACACACACACACATATATGTGAAATAAACACACACACACACACACACATATATATGTGAAATAAACACACACACACACACGCACACACACACACGCGTATATATATTGTGGAAAGATTTCTTAAGTAATTTATTGATAAAAATTTTCTATTAATTGTTCAATTTGTTTAATCGTTCGTTTGTTTATAAAACTTTATTAATGTATATATATATATGTATGTATATATATATAATATATATATATATATATTATTGAGTTTCTTTGTTCAACTATTTGTGTGAATACATGTTCATTTTTAATCATCAATATATTTTTTAAACTGCATTGAACAAGCAACAACCAAACGACCATACTAATTGATAGGTCAATCAATTCATCGTATCTATCCATCCATCCATCGTATAAATCAATCAATCAATCAATCAATCAATCAATCAATCAATCAATCAATCAGTCAATCAGTCAATCAGTCAGTCAGTCGGTCAGTCAGTCAGTCAATCAATCAATCAATCAATCAATCAATCAATCAATCAATCAATCAATCAATCAATCAATCAATCAATCAATCAATCAATCAATCAATCAATCAATCAATCAATCAATCAATCAATCAATCAATCAATCAATCAATCAATCAATCAATCAATCAATCAATCAATCAATCAATCAATCAATCAATCAATCAATCAATCAATCAATCAATCAATCAATCAATCAATCAATCAATCAATCAATCAATCAATCAATCAATCAATCTATCTATCTATCTATCTATCTATCTATCTATCTATCTATCTATCTATCTATCTATCTATCTATCTATCTATCTATCTATCTATCTATCTATCTATCTATCTATCTATCTATCTATCTATCTATCTATCTATCTATCTATCTATCTATCTATCTATCTATCTATCTATCTATCTATCTATCTATCTATCTATCTATCTATCTATCTATCTATCTATCTATCTATCTATCTATCTATCTATCTATCTATCTATCTATCTATCTATCTATCTATCTATCTATCTATCTATCTATCTATCTATCTATCTATCTATCTATCTATCTATCTATCTATCTATCTATCTATCTATCTATCTATCTATCTATCTATCTATCTATCTATCTATCTATCTATCTATCTATCTATCTGTCGATCAATCAATCAATCTATCTATCTCTCTATCTATCTGTCGATCAATCAATCAATCAATCTATCGATCGATTTATTTAATAAGCCTAAATCAATTATAAACCAATCAATCAGTCAATCAAATAGTCAATCATTTGTTTAAACAATTAGTCATTTAATTGTTTAATAATTCAACCATCTATTCAATTAGTCACTCATTCATTCATCCATTAAATAAATCAATCACATCACATCATTCCATTACCGACTTCACCACATTTCTGTCCTGCCATTTCTTCCTAAAAACTAACTTTCTTGCGGAACTTAAAAACAATTGGACCATTCGTAATAACCGGTTAGTTAAATATTCGCCACCAATATTCGTTCGGTACCCGATACATCGTAGATATCCGATATATTTTAAATTATATATTTATGTATATGTGTATGAATTTTAAGTTTTTTTTTTCATTTCTTGACATTGTTTGCGTGTATATAAAAATATGAAAAATCACACACACACACACGCACACACACACCTGTACACGTGCACACGCACTCACACGTACACACGCACCACACACACACACACGCACCACACACACACACGCACACATAAACACACACATATACCTGTATCAATGTTCGTATTTTTGAAAGCATATATAATATAAATATATACGAAAATCAGAAGAAAAAAAACAATTTTCCACCTTAATTTCTTAACTAAACGAAATTCATTAAATTTTATTTTCTAAAATATTTTAACTTTCTTTAATTGAATTTTAGTTTGGCAAGATATGGTAAGACGTTTGACTTAATTAAATTTTGAGTGATCACCTTTTGTTTAGTTGAATAAATACTGGGTCAATCAATCAGATAGTTAATTTATTCTTTGAATTGGTTAATTATTCAATTAATTAATTAATTATCTAATTAAATTTTTTGAGCCATTCATTTCATAACATATTACTTTTCCAGAGGTTTTGATTATTTTTAAATAAAATGTTTCTCGTCGTTTTGGTATTTGAAGTTGTCATTTGTAAAAAAATTAATCATTAAATATAGAAGAATTAACGTGTAAATTTATATTAAAAGTAGAAACTACACACTCACATATAAACACAGCATACTTCAATTTAACATACATATCTAAGCTACACAAACTTATAAACTTTACAACAAAATTCCGTAAAATAATGTTATTACCAATAAATCAATGATTGAAAAATTGAAGATTAAAATATCAATCAGAATCTCCCGCCAATAATTATATGTTTCCAGCTAAAAATCACAAAATTTCCGCCAAAAATTATGTTTCCCGTCACAAATCATGAGTTCGCCATTATAGTTCATTGTTTCCCGCCAAAAATCCCGAGTTTCCCGCAAAAATCAACCGTCTGCAGGTATAGCCCACAAATTTCGATCATAATCCCAGCCATCGTCACCTCCTCCATTGCTCCTGTGTTAAGTTTCAATAATAAAATTTGATTGAATTTTTATAAAAATGTTTAAAAAGTGAGTAAAAGAACAATAATAAATATTTCATAAAAAACTTTTTTAAATATTCATTCGAATGGGGATCAATGGAATAAGTCGTGGGAGAAGTTTATAGAATGGGAAGATGCAATCATTGGTGTCGGCACGTTATCCGAATTCTGCAGTAATTAAGTTATCCAGTTGCTTCTTGCTCAAACAGGCTTATGATTTTTTATGTCTATTTTAAAATTTATACTCCATCAACATTTATATCAACATTTATTTATTTATGACAGACCATATTATACGTTTAACGACAATTTAAATGCTATCAAATCAAAATGAAACCAAACAATTTATAAAATTAATTTAATTGATTTCATTGGCTGGCTGACTAATTAGATCGATAATTCTATTAATTAATTAATTAATTAATTCATCTTCTAATTAAATTAACTTAAATTTACGTAAAATAAATTTTGGTCACTTCTAATTTAAAAAACTCTAAACCCGAAATCCTTTTTGCTGAATCCAGAACCACACTGCATATACGGATGCAAGTCTTTAGTAAATAAAATAAAAATTAATTAATTAATTTAACTAATTAAATTAAATTTAAACAGAAATTAAAATATAGTAACGTAAATATGTATGTTGGTGCGAAGTATCAAAAAATATCTTACAATAAAGGGATGATTCATTTTTATTATTAATATTATTGTTATTTCGGTTGCTGTCTTTGCTGTTTCTGTTGTTGACGTCATTATGGCGGAAGCTGAGACAGTAGAAACCAAAGACAACAAATAGCAACATCAGCAACAACGAACATCCCAGCGTCACACCAACAATCAACGCCGTCGTATTGATAGTTGTTGTTGATGTTGTCATTATTGTTGTTGTCACTGGTGTGATATTTGTTGATGTTGTTGAAGTATTAGTTGTTAGGTTGTTTGAAATGACGTAAGAGAAAGACATTGAAGTTGTTGCTGTTGTTTTGTTCATCATGTTATTACCGTTACCGTGTGTTGTCGTCGCTAGTGTGGTAGATGTTATGGCTGCTGTATGTTTTTGGAAGAAAGTTTTGTAGTGTATGTAATCAGTGGTCTGAAAAAATTAATCTCAATGATTTAAAAAAAGTAATTTAAGATTTTTAAAATTTACAAAATTTAGTAGTAGTTTCAATAGTAGCAGCAGCAGTAGTAGAAGAAGTAGTAGTACAAGTAGTTGTAGTAGTAGCAGCAGATGTAGTAGTAGAAGCAGCAGCAGCAGTTGTAGTAGCAGATGTAGTAGTAGAAGCAGCAGTTGTAGTAGTAGTAGAAGCAGCAGTTGTAGTAGTAGCAGCAAATGTAGCAGTAGAAGCAGCAGCAGCAGTTGTAGTAGTAGCAGTAATACTACCTTCCAATAAAGTCGAAACAAGAATAGGGTTGCTATAAGGTCCAAACCCGCCATCAATACAATAGGCTCGTATCATCAGGACGTACGTTGTGTTGGGGACGAGTTGGCTATATTTATTGTTTTTGGTTACAGGTTTTTTTGTATTTATTTTTTGTAATTGATTTTTCATTAATTAGCGTTTATTAATTTTAGTTTGATTTGACACCATTTTCGTCGTAAATCAAAGGAATCTAGGCGTCTGATGCTATAAAAGGCTTTCACTATCATAAATTTTTCAGAAATACACTAAGCATACATGCAAACAAACATACATACACAAAACATACGTACACATATAAAATACATACATACATACGTACGCACATACAAAACCCACATACATGTCACACATACACAAACAAGCACACAGACACACACACACACACACACACACACATACACACACTCACATATACAAACAATTACAAAAAAATTTCCATAGCAACCTTGTTATGGCATTCATCAGTGGCAGGGCGACCTGCATTGTTGAACTTCGACCCTGATCGCGACCTTGCCACTGCACCACGTGACCTGTGACATCACAATTTCTATCGATCAGAGCAATTCCCTGCGTTTAAAATTCACAGTCTAAACATTAAAATGTTAATTCATGCTAATGTAGAACGATTAAAACGATTCATTAATATTAATTAGTTTTAGTTTTGACTGAAAAATATTTGTATTGTGTGTATGTTTTGTGTGTGTGCGCGTGTGTGTGCGTGCGTGTGCGTGTGTGTTACCTGCCATGTTGTAGCGAAAGAGTTTGATGTGACGTTGAATACCTGGATGTTTATGGGAGCGCCAGTTGGTGCTGAAACATCGTTATCATAATTGTCATCATCATTATAATCATCATCATCATCATCATCGTCATCATCATCAAGATTCTTTACACTAGCGGATTTATCATTTCATTAAACCGTCATCATCATTTAAAATCATATCCAAATATTGGAATAAAAGTGGACTCAATCTAACATAAAACTCCTAAGAACCATTTAATAAAAAAAAAACACATAAAAACCTGAAGGCTTTGTTTTAATCACTAGTTCAATGCCTATGTTATCATCACCATCAGCATCTATTATATTATTATTATTATTTTTATTATTATTATCATTATCATCATCATCGCCGGAATGGCAATCACTATTATAGCCAGCGTCATTTGAAAAGACTATCCTGATTGAATATAATGTATTTGGTTTCAAGTTGCCTATATATGCGTTCATGAAGTTGCTGATGTTTGTGAGTTTTATTTCGCGGGTGTTCCAAAAATTATTCAGATAATTGGTTTTTGTATTGTTATTACTGTTTTTGTTGTTGCTGTTGTTGTTGTTGTTATTGTCTACATTGGTGGTGCGAATGAGCTCCGCCCATCTCACAAGAACCTCTGTGATTGGATCGTTTCCTATCTCGTCTGCTCCTATCTTTCTGGCGCGAAAATTGAGGTAACGTGATTTAATGATTTAAAATGGTCGTTCAGGCTTTGAAAGTTTAAAATCAACTGTGACAGCACAACAATTTAAATATGAATTTAAATTTATGATAATCTATAGGACAAACATTTTACGAAAATTTATCAAAAAAAAAAAGTAAGCGAATTCATTCAAAATTACTGAAAGCCTGAAACCAAATTATGAACCTGCCATCTTAGGAGCAAAAGAAAGGACGAGTTATGAAAAATTTCAACGCTTTCGGCGCACCTCCGTGGAGCTTTTGAAAGAAAAAAATTTGTTAAATTCAAGGAAGTCGAACCTTTTTATCGTGCCTACTCTATGAAGGGCTGAAATAAAATTTGGAATAAAGAATAAAATGTGTATTATGCCAAACTTATAAATAATTGATTTCTCGATTAAAAAATGTTTGAAAATTCATGTTACTCACGAGAAAGTTTAGTAGTAAATGTTTGGGCGGTCGTGAAATCACTCACAAGCTGTTGTGGCTGTTGTTGCGTTTGTGGTTGTGGTGATTTTTGTGGCTGCCCAAACGCCACACACCTAACTCTACACTCGTAGAATGTGAATGACCTCAAACTGGCCAAGGTCACTCGTTGCAGGGCGCTCAACCTTGGCACAACTTCAACCACGTCGTACTCTTTAAATTTGGGTATTTATTTTTTATTAAATTATTTTCGAAAGATTTTTTCAACGAAATTCCTAATATTGTAGCCAATAATTTGTAACATTAAAGTAGGATTTATTTCATCTATCTTTTTTGCTAATATTTCATGAATATATAGGCTTCAAAATATTCGCCTTGTTACATCATCTTCACAGGATTGAACAAGCTACAATTATTCCGTCCTAACATATAGACGATTTTTAAAATACAGAGGAGGTTTTTTATTTTTCTTAACGTAAAAAAATCATGAAAATATAATAAACATAGCTAGAATAATAATTATAATATTTTATTATGGTCTGAGTTGGCGAGATTCATAACAGATAAGATGAAAACAGCATTTAAAGGTGCGACTCAACCTACAAAATGTAGTGAACGCAAATACAAAAAGGCCTATTTTTCAGTTGTGTTTTGTTTATAATTAGTATTTTGGTGTCTAAATAATAACAATTAATATTAAATTATTATTATTATTATTACTATTATTATTATTATTGATATTATCATTAATGTCCCACTTTGACCAGCCGGATATTTAATCCAGAATTGCACTTGATATAGTTGAATCCCGTAACTCACCTCTCCCGGTATTTCCCAGGTTAATTTTGCCGCGGTGCTGTTTGCCTCTTCAACTTTTAAATTTCGCGGCTCTGAGGGTGCTGTCCAGAAATAAATAATATTTTGAATTACGACTTTAAAAGAAAAACACATAAATTTCAATATGGTATTCTTACATATAAATTATAGTTCAATTCCTATATTAAAATTTCGTGTATGAATACTATACTAAAATTTTGTGTATGAATAAATACTATGAGTATATGCTAATAAGCATATGTTGTTACTAATAAAATTATTTAATATATAAAATGTTCATATCTTAATAAAATAATATTTGTGATGCTTATACATTTTTAAGATTAGTATAAACATTTTTTCATTTTTTACAATTTATTGCATTCTTCATCTTTCTCGTGCCTTATCCTTTCATGACATTGTCGACCATCGACCTCCACAAAACCCGATCTTTAACACTTTGTAGTAGTTGAAATGTGGTGATATTCAACAAGTGACACAAGGACTTCACGAATGTTATTCAGTGTTGACCGCGATCTCTTTTCCCTGCAATCTTTCCAGTAGTTGTTAGACTTTCCATTCTTTCCTTCCGCAGGATGTGACCAAAAAATTTAACTGCCCCCGTCACAATCAACAAAATTATTACAATACAAATACTTTTTTGTTTAAAAAAATGCAAGATTTAAATTTATGCAGACCATTAGCAGATGTGTAAGCTACAATGGGACTGCTGTATTCGCCGATTCCCGCCTCATTGGCACCGGCAACTCTCAACCAATAAGAAGAGCCCGATGTCAGGTTTGTCACGTGACACCATAATTTATTCGGCGGGAGATTTGAAAGGCTGGTGTACGATGTTTCGAAACTGTAAGTTAATGTTGGTGATCGAGTTAGGTTGAAAAATAATTTAAATGATCAACTTATGTTCTTAAATAAAAAAAAAACCTAGTAGCATTTACTTAAAAACTGCTACAAAGGCCAATCCGCTCTGACTACTGAAACCTATCGTCGAACCAACAAAAATTGATTTAATGATTCATGGGAAAATGACAAAAGATTGACTAACTACTGCATGTATTGCAGAGTGTATGATGTGACTGGAGTAGAAGGAGTCACCGTGGCAGCAGACCACGTGATGTTGATTGACGTTTTCGAAACTTGAGATATGATTGGTTGGATCGGAGGAAGAGGCGGTACTAAAGTTGAAAATCGTTATTAAAGTAACTCTTTATACTTCAAGTTTATTCAGAAATTCAAATTTGTTAAAAGTGTTATTTAGATTTTACGCGATTTCATGTTAAACTAAAAAAGGATTAATTATTTTAAACTCAAGATACCAAAAACTCACTAATTATAACGATATTAACATCAGCAACATCGACTCCAAGTACATTCTCAATCCGACAACTATAAACACCACTATCGTTATTCGAAACCACTCGTACCGATAAACTGAAATCGGTATATTGCACAACTCTATAGTTTTGGCTACTGTTCAATGTGACCAGAGAACCATCTTTAAACCAAAAGACAACTGGAGGAGGATTTCCTGCTGTTACCAAACACGCCAATTCTATATTTTTTCCAAGTACTAATTTCCCCTTTACTTTTATGGAACCAATTTTCGGTTTTTCTAGAAAAAAAAATTAAATTGTGCAAAAAGTTTACTTTGAATAATGAAACAAAATTTGAAAAGATTATTCCATAGCAAAACAAAAAAAAAATGATTTTTTATATCACATCACAACGGATTTTAAAAATAATAAGGCTAGATGTGATTTATTAAAACCTGTCAAATATAATTAATTCATTCGTACATTCATTCATCCATCCAATCATTTAATCAATCAATCAAACATTCATTAATCCATTCATTCAATCATTCAACTAATCCTACCCCTGACAAGAAGCTGCAGAGATTTTTCCATCCAACCCGCCGTGTTGTTGCACGTACATCTATATTCTCCCGAGTCTACAACGTGAGTGAACGACAAACTCAACGATGACGTCATTTTAAACAATGATGACGACGACGACGATGATGAAGATGATGACCCCGATGATGATGATGGCTCCGATGATGATGATGGCTCCGATGATAATGATGACGACGATGATGATGATGACGACGATAATGATGATGATGAGGATTCGGTTATTGTAACATTTTCGCCGGCATTCACCGGTACATTCTGAATGAGTAGGGAGAAAATTTCATATTATGATTAAATAATTGTCATCGAAATATAATTCATTCATTCGTTTGCTCGTTCGTTCGTTCGTTCATTCATTCATTCATCCATCCATTCATTTATTCACTCACTCTTTCAGTCATACATCCATTAATGTATAATGCAGTACGGTTAGTAAATAAAGCCCACATTAAATAGCCAAACGACTCTAGGCATGGGATTTCCAGATGTTTCACAGTTGAAGACGATAGCCTGAGATGAGTTGGTCACTGCGTTTGGAGATAGTGATGTTATCTTTGCCGGAACTACAAAAAAGACAATAAATATAATTGTAGTAGTAGAAGTAGCAGCAGCAGCTGCAGTAGTAGTAGTAGTAGTAGTAGTAGTAGTAGTGGTAGTAGTAGTAGTAGTAATAGTGGTAGTAGTAGTAATAGTGGTAGTAGTAGTGGTAGTGGTAGTAGTAGTAGTAGTCGTAGTAGTAGTTGCAGTAGTAGTAGTAGTAGTAGTGGTGGTGGTGGTGGTAGTAGTAGTAGTAGTGGTAGTAGTAGTAGTAGCAGCGGCAGCAGTAGTAATGAGAATATTAATAAATAAAATAAATTAAATTTTACATTAAATTAAAATTTAATATAATATTCAAAGGTAAAATTGAAAATGTGAGGTTGATTACCTAGGACATTGAGATAAGTCTGTTGGCAACTTTTAGCCACAACATTACTTGCGCAACATGAATACGCGCCGGTATCAGAATACGTCAAGTTGTGTACAAACAACATGCTTTTGATGTTGTTGTTGTTGATGATGTTGTTGTCGTTGTTGTCAGTTGTGATTTGTATGGAGTATTTATCGTTTGGTGAGAATAACGTGATGTTATCTTGAAAAAAGTGTTGTAATTTACATTTATTCGTTCGATATTTCAGGGTTGAAATTGTTGAAAATGTCGTGTAATAATAAATATATACAGAACAACGTAATGTAATGGTGACAACCTTTAAACCATGTGATGTTGGGAGGAGGAACAGCGTAGTAAGCACACGTCAGCGATTGTGAACGCTGCTCCAGTTGTGTGGAGTTTCTAAGGAATGACGTCATCGTCGGTGCAACTGCGTAGCGAATCAAAATCACATTATTAGAATTATCACATTTTATTCAATTCGTGTTATAAAAATTGAAAAACTTCAGTCAAAGCATTGATGGTGAATTTATGGAATCCGTCAGTCAGTCAGTCAGTCAGTCAGTCAGTCAGTCAGTCAGTCAGTCAGTCAGTCAGTCAGTCAGTCAGTAGACAAACCATGCATGCCCACGAGAACATCACTGCTGACTGCACTTCCATACAAGTTCGTGGCTCGACATTTGTACCTCCCTACGTTCGTCAGAGCAAAGTTCAGAACTGTCAACGATTGACCTGAATTGCTGGACCAAAATTTTAAAAAACTTTAAACTTTGAAATAATTTTTTTCAAATTTATATCTGGGAAAATATAAAATCGTGAACATAAGATATGAACCTAGAGTCTAAAAACAAATAACAAAAATTATTTTTACAAACCCATATATGACTGTTAAAGATTCATTGAGATTCACTCCATCCAGAGACCAAGTTACCTGAGGTGTTGGAACGCCTTGAACTATGCACGTCAACCATAGAAAGCCGTTCATTATGACGTCAGTAGGAATGGGAGGAACCAGAATTTCTGGAATTCCCTCCACAAATAAGAACGCTCCAACACTGATCCTGGAAGAAGAGGAAGCGAATTGGTTGGTTGCGAGACATGAGTACACTCCTCTATCTTCGTAACGAGTGATTGAAAACTCTAAAATGCTTGTTCTATTTGCCGAGCTCATTTTGATATTTGTCCGGTTATTTCCAACTATTCTGTTGTTGTTCTTAAACCAGGTGATGTTTGCCTCTGGAGAAGATGGCGGAGGTATGCACCTTAAGTTCGATCGTGATCCGAACAAAGCAAACGCGTTTCTCGGCGTTTCAATGAACGTTGGATCCAGATCTGTTTTCATCGTAGAAAGAAATGATTCGTATCAAATGAAATTCACCAGCTGCAGCACAAACACAAACACCAACAAGCGACGTAAACGCTGATCCCTTTCGGACTTACGACTCCTTCCGAATTGATTCCGGAGCACACGTAAGAACCCACATGGATATCCCTGTTGGCCGACGGAATGTAGAGCGTCCCATTGGGATAACTTACCCACAGACTGGCGTTAAGTATTTTGGTGGCGTTCACTCGCCATATCACTTGTGGAAGGGGCCATCCGGTCATCTGACAGTTTATATAACTCGGCACATTTTCAGGTATGTAGAGAACCTCAGGTAAGGGTTTCGATAACGTTGGCAACGTCGGGGTTACTAAACATTAAAAAATCTCCAAATATTAAATATTATAAAAAAAAATGAAATATATCATTTGTGAGCTTGAAACAACTAACCGAGCAAATTACATTTTTAAGAACGACATTACATTATAAGCTGTTAAGAGTTTCTAAAAAAAATGAATTAAACGTAAAATTTAACAAAAAAAAAAATTTAACTTGAGATGTCCAACTGGGCCACCGAACTTTTAACAACGACGAGCGACATGACGTTGACCGCCATGCACTGGTACTGTCCACTCGAATCATATGACGTCACGAATGTCAGACTGAAACTCCTCATCAGCCCACCACCTGGACCTTCCTCCGTTCCAAAAGTCGCCATGTTTCTCGCGCCATCCTCAAATAAGACTCCATTTTTGAGCCAGCTAACCACGGCCGGTGGAGCACTCATTCCAGACAGGCATTCAAATGTCACGTTGTCACCACTCTTCACTTTTTGTGGTTGCGGATCGATTTCAAAGTCTTCCGTGTCTTTTATTTTGTCAGTGATTTTAATGTTAACATTTCATACATTTTTAAAAATAGTTCATCAAATTACTACTTGTTATTTGTAAAATATATTTTCAAATGACCAAGCATAATACACACTTACACGCATTAACGACAGAGGCATTTTTGCTAGAAGCACTAAGACTTTTGTTGAAGTAGACGGTACATTGATAAGTACCAAGATCTCGCAGAGTAACTGACCTAACAAATAACGAACCATTCGACAACAAAGAAGCTCGCAAGTTCATCTTTAAAACAGACTGGCCATTGAGTGACCAGTCGTGATTAAACAAAATTTTCATATAGTCATCAATGGGAACGAAGGAATCATCATCGTTGTAGAGGGAGGCAATGCACGCCAGCTGGAAATCTCCTTTCAGTAAGACTGGGATCGATCCAGGATTTCTCGTTATTTCTGTTTCGGGTGCGGTTTTAATTACAGTGGTGATACATAATTTTGTCTTGTTTTATGAGCGTTATTTTGCTTATTTCATCTTACGCCATTCATTTTACGCAACTTGTTTTACGCGTAGTTTGTTAAAGCTCATAAAACGATGTTGCGCATAATCATTCAATTTAATTTAAACGAAGTTAAAAAAAACTACTAACTTAGTTTATAAGCAAGATGAGGTGCAATCAGCGAAAATAAAAATATTTTACCGATTAGCATTTTGTTGTTTATTGAACTTCACAAAAACTACAAACGCGAGAATGTTCGCCGCAGAAATTCTTACAGGTAGGAATATTGATTGCACAATAAACGCAAGTACGTAGTTGTGGTGGTTCACCAAACCTCATTAATTATTAAAATCAAACGATCCGTAGTAGAAAAAAGACAAACTAAGAGTAAGAACATCACAAAATTATTTTATCTACACAGAAATCAACAAAAATCATTTATTACACAGTTTTATTTAATAGAAAATTCGACAAAAACACGTTTAAAGTTCTTTAACAAGATTACAAAAAAATAAAGTCAGTTATTTCGCTGATTCACCGCTGGTATCTTGATCATTGTAGTTACGGCAGCCAAATATGGATGTTCCAACACGAACACTCGTGCTGCCAAGTTCCAACTGCAAATTTGTTACATTGTTACATTATACCACATGATTGCAATTCAGCATTATTACAACAGTTATACAAAATGATCTGAGATAAAATATAGGAGTATATATATTTGATTGATTGAATTGAATGATTGATTGATTGAAAAAGTTAGAAACGTATAACTATCATCATAAAAAGCCTTACTGCATGCTCAAAATCTGCAGACATCCCCATGCTTAATTCTACATCTGCCTCATCTAAATTCAACTTTTCGCATAACTCTTTTCTTGTTTTGAGTAACAACTAACAAAAAAATTTGGGAAAAAAGTTAAGTAAGATTTATAACATTTTTTCATCATGAAAACGTTGAACGTTACAATGAAATCAGGATTAGGGCCCAGAGTTAAGTCGTGATCAAATGATCCTATGGTCATCAAACCAGCAAACTCAAGCTTGGGACAATTATTGACGATGTGTGAGACCAACTCGATAGCTTGAGATGCACCGCAACCACTTTTATCTATCAAAAAATTAAACATTTATATAAAAATTGATGAACAAATTATTAAAAAATTTCCCAAACACTCACTATCTTCATTGCTTGTATTTACTTGCACCATAACTTTCAACTTGGATGGTCTGTTGATATTTGCACATGAGGCATTTAGAGCATTTGCAAGTTTGACAGAATCAACAGTCTCAACCATGTATAGGTTAGGTATTTGCACGACCTTGTTGACTTTGTTTTTCTGCAAATGGCCAATGAGGTGCCATCTGATTTCTTTACAAGATTCTAAAATCTGCCAGAGAAAGATTTGTCATATCAGAAATGTTTGATCAATTTTTAAATTATTTTTATTTTTAATCTGTGAGTACTTCTTTGTTTTGACTTTTTTCAAGCAGCTCTTGAACCTATAAAATATATTAATTTAATTAATATATTATCAAATTTTTAATAAATTAATAAGATTTAAACATTATTAATAGTTAGCAATTTGCAAAAATTACAAATTTAAATTAATAAAGTTCTAACATAATTTTCTCCAAAATGTCTCTGTCCCAACTCATAAACCTTCACAACATCTGATGCTGACCTGGTTTTACTGACTGCAACTAAACGAGGTGCGATATTTGATTTCTGTTGTGAACATTAAAAATCAAACATGTTGATTTGTTTGATTTTGTTTGGTTGATTACAGTACATTGAAGAATGAAATTTGAATAAATAATGATTCTCCTTGAATTGAATATGAAGTGAAATTTAAAAACATGCAAAAAAGGAATCAAAAACAATGAAAAAACAGCGCAATTGAAAAAATTTTTTTTTCCGAATATTTAAAATGCCAAATGCGTCTGAAAATTTAAAATATTTAATTTTTTAATGAAAATGAAAGCAATAAAAAAGGAAAACTTACATTTTTGGATCTCAGTGTGGCATCCACAAACTTTTCATAAACCGAGCGATACGATTTATTGAGTTGCAGAGCTTCGGACATCATTCTCATCATATCATGCACTAATTGTCAGTTATATTTCACTGTTTTATACCGGACACCGTTTCAACAACGCAACAACTTTCATTTGCAACTCGATCGCAAGCCTCTTCGTTTATATTTATTTACATTGTGGGAAATTTAACTAAAAGTATATTTTAGTATGAAACGGTTTTAATATGAAGCAACATTAATAATTACTGCTTGATGTGTAGATTTTGGTTTAAATAATAGATTTTATTTAATGAACTTAAAATTAATTTTATAATTGTAATTACCGTAAAAATTAATTTTATTTTTTTATCATTGAATATTGAAATAATTTTCCGATGTTGGTTGTGGCGCCTTTATATTAAAAGTGAATTTATGTTTTCTTCTCGTACGCTCCTCGTTTTTTGTTTTACGATCAATTAAATTTTAATTATTAAATAATAAATTATAATCGTAATTTAGTCTCAAAATGGGAGAATTCAAAATTGATAAAGAAGCTTTTCAGCGAAGAATGAAAAAAGTCTACCTGGCTTGGAAGGTTCAGCAGTTGAATTGAAAATTTTGAAAAGTTGCTAATTTAAAATTAATTTCGCACCACCATGGCAAGTAGATAAGTTTTTCTGATTTTACGCAAAAATTCTTAAAAAGTGTCGCCGAAAATTATTTGACTGCTTAAAATTTTTCATTGATGTGTTTTTAATTGGAAAAATCAAATCTTTGTTGCTTTTTCAGTTCTACAATATAATTTTCATTTGTTTAATGAAAAAATCTGGCATGATTTCCACATGTACGCTTATGCTTATACATTTATCAAACAATTCGTTAATTAATTTGTTAATATTTAAATAATTATGCAGGATGCCTCAGAAGATCACCCAATGTCAAAGGTCGATGCAATAGTAGTGGCTGTTGGGGCTGCCGAGGTTGTTTACTCCAAGTCAATATCAATACAGGTTTGTAATTAGTGCATGGTATTACTTATTATTATTATGTTTATTTTTATTGCTAATATTTTTACTAAAAATTGACATCACCGTACTCTGTTACTAGAACTGGTTATTCGGTTACGAACTGCCTGACACCATATTAGTACTCTGCGAGTCGGCCATTTATGTTCTGTCCAGTAAAAAGAAAGTTGAATTCGTTCGCCAGGTTGAGGATTGCTGTAATGACATCATCCCAACTATGAAGTTACTAACAAGAGATAAGGTGCGTTGGGTTTTTTTTTATTTATTTATGTTGTTGCTGTTTTGTTGTAGTTTTTTGTTGTTCATAGTGGCCTTCTTGTCTATTTTGTTGGTTTTTGTTATGGTTGCAGTTTTTAATATTATTGTTAATGTTTTTTACTTACATATATATATATAGAGAAAGAGATAGTGAGACACATTTGATGCTATTATGAATTGTTATTTTAACATTTAAATGTTTCGGGTTTTTTTTCAAGGCTGACAAGGATAAAACAAATTTTGATACGCTAGTTGAGGCCATAAAAGAATCCTCACAGGTTTAGAGATTGTTTTTTAATCTTTGATAATCCTTTTAATTTGTCTTTAATATTAATATTATTATATTGTTAAGTGTTTGAAAAATTATTAGATTATTAAATAAAATAGGTCTAATTTGTAAAAAATTAGACCTATTTTTGTAATTTGTAAAAAATTATCCTTATTTATAGAAAATTTTGTATATTTTCAAAAAATAGGGAAAGTCGATAGGTGTCTTTCCAAAAGATAAATTTCCTGGAGAGCTGATAGATGGATGGAAGGCTGCGTTAGATGGAGCTGGCTTAGAATCGGTTTGTGTATCTGTTTGTCTATTTGTCAGTCTGTCTGTCATCTGTCTGTCTGCATGTGTGTACGTTATGTGTGTGTTATGTGTGACTCTAGCATGTTCTTTCAAAAATATGAAAACATTTTCGTTTCATTCCATGATTAATATTTCATGATTGTTGGCTTCATTTGATTCTTCACTCAATGAATATTTATAATATTTATTTTCATTTTGGTCTACCAATTTTGATGTATAGGGATTTAGAATTTCCAACATACTTCATTCAAACTGAACATTTCTCTGTAACATTCATTCATATTTTTTGCATATCAGGTTGATGTCACTTCACATCTAGCTCTGATCATGGCCGACAAAGAGGAAAGTGAGCTGTCCCTCATAAAGAAAGCTTGCACCGCTACCATGGATTTGTTCAATAAATACCTCAGGGAGCAGCTGATGGATCTCATTGACAAGGAGAAGGTTAGGAGAGTGTGGAAGTTTTGTTCTGTTCTCTCGGATTGGGTTTTGTTTTATTTTAGAGTTATTTTTTGTTTTGCTTGGTTTTGTTTTTCACTTGTTTCTTTTCATTTTATGGAATTTTCTATAAAATTTTTTGTTTTTTTTTTTTTTGAAAATAAGGAGAATGTGATGTGAGTGTTTTGTTTTTGGGAATGTTTTTTATCTTTCTCTGTTAATATATGTTGCAAAATCTAGCAGCTTCGTTATAAAATATGGATAATTATAATGGTTTATAAATAATAAATATAATTTTAAATAATTAAAAAATGGCCGACAGCATGTGAAGCACTCGAAGTTGGCAGCCCAAGTCGAGGACGCCTCACAGAACAAGAAGTACATAACAGGGTTGGACCTGACGCAGTTGGATACCTGCTACCAGCCCATCATTCAGAGTGGAGGCAAGTATGAACTCAAGTTCAGTGCCAAGGCGTTAGTATTGTGAGAGAATGAGTGAGTGAGTGAGTGAGTGAGTGACATTGAGTGAGTGACTGTAAGATTGAGTGAGTGAATGAGTGAGATTAGTGAATGAATGAGTGAGATTGCGTGAGTGACTAAGTGAGATTGAGTGAGTGATTGAGTGAATTGACTGAAAGGAGTGACTGGAAAGATGTATGTATAAGTGAATGGTCGAGTAAGTGACAATGAGATGATGAAAGTGATGACGAGTAACAGAACAGTATTATAGAGGAGATGTTTTTGTGATATATGTGTATGTATCAGATGATGACAGCTAAATTAACATTGGCTGCCATAAAATATCAACATAATTACCATCACTACCATCATATAGAGACAACAACATGCTACACTTTGGCTCAATAATCTGCATGTTGGGTCTGAGGTACAAGTCTTACTGTTCTAATGTTGCCAGAACGATTATGGTGGATCCGACTGAAGATATGCAGGCCAACTATGCTCTACTCTTAAAAGCACATGAAGAGGCTGTCAACTTATTGAGACATGGTTAGTTTGTGCGTGTCTGTTTCCCTCTGTCCATCTGTCTTTGTCATATTTCTGTGCGTTTGAGTTTTGTGTCATATTAAATCATTCTCTTGTGTGTGTTTGTGTGTGTGTGTGTGCGTGTGTCTGTTTTATGTTTGTATTTGGTATCATTTTAAATCATTTTCTGTTAGGAAACCATTCAGTCACACACGCACATAAACACACACACACATGACATTCAATGGTAAATTATTGTACAATAAAAATCTCGAAGGTACAAAGCTGTCAGATGTTTACAAAGCCATTGTGGACGTTGTTAAATCTGAAACACCTGCACTCGTTGATAAGCTAACAAAAAATGCTGGGTGTGTATGTATTTGCAGTTAATTTAGAAACTCATTAGAAGTTCACTTGTACTGTTCTCATTTACAATTGAATATCATTGAGGAGTTATGGCATTATCAAATTGGTTTTATACAAATTAACATCACTCTTACCAGATACATGGTTTATTAATTTATTTATTTGAATTAAAGACATTCATTCATTTCTTGAAACATTTATCCTTAGCATAATCGTTTAAAGATATAAATTTGTGTGTGTGTGCACGTGCGTGTGTGTGTGCGTTGTTAATCAAACGGTATCTTTTTCAATAATATTATTAAACTTTTTCCAAAAAAAAAGTTTCGGCATGGGCTTGGAATTCCGCGAAACCTCCCTGCTGATTGCAGGCAAAAGTGATGCAGTTGCAGTGCAAGGTATGGTCTTCAACCTCAACATCGGTTTCACAGATCTGGAGAACAAGGCTGCCAAAGATGAGGAGGGTAAGAAGTACGCCCTGTTCATTGGAGACACGGTCGTCGTGAATGATCAGGTTTGTCGGTGGTGTTTGGCTTGTTCCTTTGTAGGTCGTTGGTCGGTTGGTTTGTCTCTTTGGTATGTTCATCAATTTATATTTCTTTGATATATTCATCAGGTTGTAATCGTTTGGTATGTTCGTCAAGTTATATTTCTTTGGTATGTTCATCAGGTTGTATTCGTTTGGTATGTTCATCAAGTTATAGTGATAAAAGTTATAATACTTTTAGTGTTAAGGTAGGAGTGCATCAAGGATCTGTGTTATCACCGTTTCTGTTTGCAATTGTGATGGATGTTGTGTGTGGAAACATAATGGAGGGGTTGTTATTTGAGATTTTGTATGCAGATGATTTAGTCTTGATGGCTGATAGCATGGAAGAATTGCAGTTAAAATTTGACAGATGGAAAAGTGTTATTGAAAAGAAAGGGTTAAAAGTTAATATTGGTAAGACGAAGGTAATGGTGAGTGGGGAAGGTGGGGAGCGAGTGATAAGTAAAATAGACCCCTGTGGGGTATGTGACAGGAGAGTGAAGGCTAACTCGGTATTGTGTATAGGATGTCAGAAATGGGTGCATAAGAGATGTAGTGGTGTGAGGGGGGCACTGAAAAAAGTGGAAGGCACGTTCAAATGTAAGAAATGTGTTCATGGTGTGATTAATAGGACGGACGCAAGGACGGGGTTGAGTGGTGGTATTGAAAGAGTGGAAAGCTTTGTTTACTTAGGGGATAAGCTGAACGCGGATGGAGGATGTTTGAGCGCAGTTACGGCTAGAGTTCATGTGGGATGGATGAAATTTAGGGAGCTGGGTGGGGTATTGTGTGGAAAGAAATGGTCAGTGAAGATGAAAGGGAGGGTATATAAAGTATGTGTGAGAGCAGCGATGGTATATGGTGGTGAAACTTGGGTGTTGAGGAGAGAGGAGGAAAGTGTACTGCAGAGGGCTGAAAGAGCTATGGTGAGGATGATGTGTGGGGTTAAAGTGAAGGATAGGAGGAGTAGTACAGAGCTGATGTCAATGATGGGACTGAATGAGGACATTGTGACATTGATAAGGAGATCGAGATTGCGGTGGTATGGACATGTGTTGAAAAGGGATGAAAGGGTCGGGATTAGGCGAGCGTTGGAGTTCGAGGGTGAAGGAGTGGTAGGAAGGGGTCGTCCGCGATTGGGATGGAGAGAACAGGTGGAGAAGGACAGGGTGAAAGCGGGGTTGCGTGATACTGAGGCGAGTGACAGATGTGGATGGCGTCGAGGGGTATTTCGGTTTCATCATAGGTAGCCAAACGGCAACCCCCGATCTCGAGGAAAATGTCGTCTAAACGTGTGTTGTTATGTTCATCAAGTTATATTTCTTTGATATGTTCATCAGGTTGTAATCGTTTGGTATGTTCATCAAGTTATATTTCTTTGGTATGTTCATCGAGTTATATTTCTTGTCTTTGTTTGGTGGTCATGAAAATCGAATTCAGATTATATGCTATGAGGTTTTGTTACGACCTTTTGAATTAAAACTTGAAAATTAACAGGACACACCTGCAACTGTGTACACACCACAGAAGAAACAAACGAAAAACGTTTGCATCTTCTTAAAGGTCAGGTTTCATTTCATTTTTTTTTTCAACTTCAGACTTCACCATTTAAATTATTTGTTTCATTTCGATATATGTAGTCACAATTTATATTAATGTATTTGTATTGCACTGATATGCTATCTTATATTTTGATGATGATGATGATAATGATAGGAAGAAGAGGAAGAGGAGGAAGAGGAAGAAGATGATAAAAAAGAAGATGACCCAAAAATAGCGGGAAGAGGTCAAAGAAATGCCATCTTGGCTAATAGAACCAGGGTATGGTTTTTTTTTAAGATTTTTGTAGCTTTAGCTTTTTCCCCACCCCTCTCTCTCTCTCTCTCTCTCTCTCTCTCTCTCTCTCTCTCTCTCTCTCTCTCTGAGTTTATGTGTTTCATTTTAAATTGTAGTTCTACTTTTCTTTTATGTCATTTATCATGTTGTATGTTGTTGCTTCTTATTTAAGAACATTAAAGTTAATAAAACTAATTACATTTTTCTAATTTGTGCAATTTATTTATCAAATTTGTTAATCAATATTTATTAATATTGGTGGTGGTGGTGGTGGTTTGTCCTACTTATGACATTAAACTGACCCTCACTGCCTTGTGAGTGATGTTGGATCATCAAAGGCTAGGCCCACCGCTTATAACTGTGGTTGCGTAAGGAAGGGCGTCCTGCGTAAAAATTAGCCAAATAAATTACTTATGATGGAATGGCGTCGAGGGGTATTTCGGTTTCATTATAGGTAGCTAAACGGCAACCCCCGATCTCTGGGAAAATGTCGTCTAAACGTGTGTTGTTGTTGGTGGTGGTGGTTGTGTTTCTATATGATTCCACGTTGTTCTAAACTTTTTCCTTCCATATTGTTTTCAAAGCCGGTTAGTGTTGATCAGATTGGATAGATATATCTGTTATTTTTGTTCATTTATTTCCTCCATAGAACATTATTTTTATCATTCAATAATTTTTTTTCTTCAATGCTAATTTATCTATGTCGGTTTTTTAAAATTCACTTCGATTTCTTAGACATATTAGTGCATGTCGTATTAATCTCATTATGGTTTAAGTCATTACATTGTAAAATTTTCTGTTTTTATATTAGCTGCTAGAGAGAGAGAGAGAGAGAGAGAGAGAGAGAGAAATAATTCAGTGTATGATTCTGTTATTAATATCAATTGTATCATTTTTATTCAGAAAAGCATAGAAACATTCTTTGAGTTACTGAAAATGTTTTATTTCAAATTCTTTCAGATGAAAATTTTTAATCATTTGAATATTTTCACACTCAGTTAAACAAACATAGCATCGTTTGATATTTTTCGTTATTGGGTTGTTGGAATGATAGGAAGGTTGAGTGATTGGATGGGATGAACTACTGATGAACTATTGAATGGGATGGGATGAACTACTGATAGATTGAATGGATGGTTGAGAAGTTGGTTGATCAATTGGTTGATTGATTGACAGACGGAAATGACAGCAGAGGAGAAAAGGCAGCTGCACCAGAAGGAACTTGCTGAAAAGTTGCACAAGGAGGCTCTTGATAGGAATGCAGGCCACAAGGAGAAAGAGAACGAGAAAAAGTGAGAGTGTTGTGTGAAAAGTGAGAGTGTAGTGAAACTGAAATGAAACTGGTGACATCACAATGACGTCATTTCGGCGTTATAAATAGCGTCACTTTTCAATGACAGTGCATTGATTGATGAAATCTCATTGCTTAACAAATGTAACAAAAATGTGGCATTTCAATTTTTTTCTTACTACTGTTATCACTACTGCTGTATGTTAATTTACTACTTTATAACTTCACTTATGAAATGCCTAACTCTAGTAAATCATTTTAGAAGCGTGAATTGACTAATTAGTTAATTAAATGAATTAATTAATCAGTTAATTGATAATTAGTTAAATTTTTTTCTGAACAGAGATAGAAAAGTGAGCATATCGTACAAGAACATTTCACAAATGCCTAAGGAACCTGAGATTAGAGACCTGAAAATCTACGTAGGTCCGTGTTTTTACAAATCTCCTTTTTTGTTTCATTCATTTTTTTATAACAAATTGATAACAACAAATTTATGACTCATGATTTATTCTTATCGTCTTTATTAAGTTATTTTACGAGAATAAATTTTTGATGAAATGTTTCTTTTCTTCCCCAAAAGATAAAAAATATGAAACAGTCATCCTGCCTATATTTGGCTATCCATGCCCTTTCCATATCTCAACAATTAAGGTTGGTCTGACTCGATTTCACTTACACACAAATAGATTCAGTATATTTTCTTATTGCTACTTTGATGTGTCAACCGACAATCACGTATACATTGTTAAATACCTAAACTACTTGGTTATATTTCATTGTTGTTCATATCATCTTGACTCATCTTATTACAAATTAGAGCAAATTTAAATGGAAAACTTCATCATCTATAACCACTTTAGAACATAAGTCAGTCGGTGGAAGGAGATTACACATACCTACGTCTCAATTTTTTCCACCCTGGTTCTAACCTAGGTAGGAATGAAGGGGTCATCTATCCCAACAACGAAGCTACCTTTCTTAAAGAAATGTTCGTTTTTTTTCTGTTTTTTTGTTTTTTAGTTTTTTTTATCTTGCATCATTGTTTTTTTTCACACCAGTTAGGCTATTACATTTGCAGACTGTTAATTTGATGTTTTTAAAAAATTGTCTCCATATGGTTTCTTTTACATCATTTCTATTATCTCTACTACCATTATGGTGGTCATCATTCGTATTACCGCCATTATAATAACCTTCACCATATAATGACCATCACCACTGTAATCACCATCAATCACAACAGAACGTATCGAAGTTCAAACTCGAAGGAGCCAGGTGAACTGTCCGCCCCATCATCAAATCTCAACACAGCATTCAGACTCATCAAAGAAGTCCAGAAGAAATTCAAAACGAGGGAGGCTGAAGAGAGAGAAAAAGAGGTGGGTAACGGTTGTAATGATGACGTCATGATGGGGTCATGATGTCATCAAGATGCTGGTGACTATGTATGGTGGTGTGGTGTTGTTGATGATAGAGATTTCTTAAAGATGATGTAGATGGTGATTTGGTAGAGATTTCTCAAAGATGATGTAGATGATGATTTGGTTGATGACGCTGATGAATTAGCTTACTGTGAGATAGAAAATGGTGATCTGATGGTACTGATGAGAAAAATCATCATGTTTTCACCATCGTAACAAAAGGGGGTCATGAAGCAGGACACACTGATCGTCAATCCAAACAGAGGCAACCCGAAGTTGAAGGACCTGTACATCAGGCCCAACATCGTCTCTAAGAGGATCACTGGATCGCTGGAGGCACATACTAATGGTTTGTAAATGTGTGATAGGCTGTTGGGAGTTTGTATTACAAAACTATTAATTGCATCTTTGTTTTCAAGTCTTCTTTGTTGCACTTAAATCCACTCTTTTTGTTCTTTGTTTATTCATCCCTTTATTTTTATTTATCTATTTTTTATTTTTCATTATGATTTTTTCTCTTCCATGAAGGTTTCCGATTTACATCAGTACGTGGGGACAAAGTTGACATATTGTACAACAACATAAAGAATGCCTTCTTCCAGCCATGCGATGGAGAGCTGGTCATCTTGCTTCATTTCCATCTTAAGGTACATGCCATTTCATCAACTAACTGACCATCCTAATAGTTATGGTCATTTTAATGTCTGTAACATTGACTGTAAACTGCTCTGTCCTATGCAGTTCATTGGTCGAATATATTTAAGAATAGGTGTGAATGTCGTCATTATTGACCTGCCTTTATGCGTTACAGTACTTTTATTAATACTGAATGTTGAAGATAATATAATATAATAATAGGTTGAAAATAATATAAAAATATAATAAAATAATATAATTATATATATTTATTTATTTAGGACAATATATATAATATAATAAGATTTCCTCTTTGTTTGTTGGTCTCCTAACTTTTATCACCATAATTTCTATTAGACTTCATTATTACATATCATCAGCGTTGTTGTTTCACTCGCCTTATCTCACTGACTACAAATGATGGTGATCACCCCTCATTGCAGAATGCCATATTATTTGGCAAGAAGAAGCACATTGACGTTCAGTTCTACACAGAAGTTGGGGAGGTGATAACAGATCTGGGCAAGCACCAATACACCCATGACAGGGACGACCTCAGGGCTGAGCAGGTTTGTGGCTCAGTCCAGTCGAATGATTGGTACCTTGAATGTTTGCACTTGATTCTGTTTAAATGTTATCCGTGGAGTGTATAATGTTCAGTGTGTGTGTGTGTGTCCGTGTTCTGTGTGTGTCTATCCGAAATAGCAAACTCCTATATTATGATATCGCCGTATAACAACGTGTCAACAGTCTGAAAGAGAGCTGAGGCACAGGTTGAAAGCAGCATTCAAAAGTTTCTACGAGAAGGTAGAAGCTATGACCAAGCAGGAGGTAGAGTTTGATGTTCCATTTCGTGACCTCGGCTTTCATGGCGCCCCCAATCGTAGCACTGTCCTCATACAACCAACCAGTGGCTCGGTTGTTAATCTCACTGAATGGGTTCGTTTTGATGGCTGTGTGGATGATAGCAATGTTTTTACATAATCAGAACTTTCGTTACCATATCATCAAATGCAGCCTCCATTTGTTGTGGCTCTTGATGAAGTCGAGTTGGTGCACTTTGAACGGGTTCAATTCCAACTGAAGAACTTTGATATGGTTTTCATCTTTAAGGACTACCATAAGAAGGTCGCGATGATCACAGCTATCCCCATGGCACAGTTGGATCATGTCAAGGAATGGCTCAAGTGCGTTCAATCGTTGATCATCGATTATCATTTGCTGGGTAACATGCTGCTAGAAATCATTTTCTGAGTAATTTCTAATTTGTTTATTCAGTTCCTGTGATATAAAGTACAGTGAAGGAATTCAGAGTTTGAACTGGACGAAGATCATGAAGACCATCACCGACGACCCGGCCAAGTTTTTCGAAGATGGTGGTTGGAGTTTCCTCGATCCTGAGAGTGATGTTAGTTCAGTTGAGGAGGCTGCTAATAATGTACTGCATGTTGCTTCATGTTTTGATTGCTTTCAACGTCTTCTCTTAATCTTGAAAAACTTTTCAAAGTTTGATTTTTTCTCTTAGTCAGCAGTCAAATGTTAACTTATTGATTGATTGATTGACTGATCGATTGATTGATTGATTGATTGATTGACTGATTGATAGGCTGAAGATGACGATGATGATGAAGATGACGAGGACGACGCGTACAATCCGTCTGATAGTGAATCAGCGGAGGGAAGCAGTGATGATGAAGATAGTGATGACAACTGGTCGGCTGAGGATGAAGATGATGATGACGGTTGGTGTTTTTTCGAGACAGTATTTTTTTCTAGCATTTCTTCAAGGCATATTATAGTAGCACGCCCTATGTAATGATGTGCTACCAGGCCCGCACTCATTCTTGTCAGTGGCTTTACAAAAAATTACTTTTTCCGAGTCCAAATGAATTCAAATTGAACTTACTCACCTCCAAACTTATCAGATAGATATTCTAATGGTGGTAGGGAAACAGTTGAATGTCCGTCGGTATAGTTTGCTTAGCGTTAGGCAGTTATTTGCTGTCATGCTTGGAGTTGTTGAATATGAAAATGACAATGGTGTTGGTTTAACGACTGATTGTTGTTGACACTTTGTTCACTTAGGATCTGAAGAATTGGGTTCTAGTGAGGAATCTGGTAAAGATTGGGATGAACTGGAGGAGGAGGCCAAAAGAGGTTGACGTTTCATTTTCTCATCATCATGTTCATTTATTTATTTATTTACTCACTTTGACATATACTTTTACATTAAATCCTGTTGGAACTTATGCTTACTACATTTTTCATCAAAATCGCCGTTGACAGCCGACGCCGAAGATGATTTGGACGACAGTCGAGACGATGAGAGGCATAAGAAGTCGAAACAGAAGCACAAGATGAACAGCAATCACAAACACAAAAGCCCCAAGAAGCACAAGAGTCCCGAGAAGAAGCATCACAAGGCCCACCATGAAGCCAAGCACAAAAACGGTCACACTACCAACAGCAATGAAAAGTCGCACAAATCATCGAAACGCCGCAATAGCGATGGCAGTGATAGGGGCAACCACAAGAAGCGAAAATAATGACGACGACGATAACATTTTATATTATTATTATTATTATTATTATTATTATTATTATTATTATTATTATTATTTGCACAATCGAGTAATTAACTATTTTTTATTAAATGTATAAAGTAATGTAGATAAGCTGGCATGCAGTGACACGATTATCTTGTGCTGTACGCTGATTTTAATTAGGCTATCAATAATTGTCCTCCGTTCGTTTTCATGTTTTAAAGAATTTGGTTTGTTATCCATTGTGAAATGACTAATGATTTCAGTAATATTTCATAAAATGACCATTTAATAACTCGTGAATCGAAACAATGTTTCCTGAGAAACTGTTTGTGATATTGTATTTGTTGCCACTCGCTGTTAGGTTTTACATTCACTAATTCTAAAGAAACTTATAATCGCGGAAAGTTTTATTGACTCTGTGCTATTGAAACCTCAGATTAAAACGCCGGACTTCGTAGTTACGTGTTAACCTGCTGGCCAATAGAATTTCAAATATAGCGCCTTATTGCGTCGTCATAAAGTCGTCTTCAATCTCATCTGACACTCGATATTCCATGTATGTGTGACTGGTGGGATGTCCAGTTGGAATGGTCGATGTAACGGTCATATTTGGAAGAAAATCCTATGGTGTTGGAACGTGAGAGGTTTCATATAGTTTACAAATTGCAATAAAACTCCACAAGTGACGTAGTTTTAGAATAACTTGCCATGTGATCGAGTCCATGTGCTGTGCATACATGTTAAATAACTCGGACCATATACTTGGAATACTTGAAACCACTAATGCGTTTTACGCCATTATCCCACGTTTTGTATGAATTCTCGTGAAATGATTTCTTGTTCTTCTAGTCTTCAGGTTTGGTCTGCTCAAATATATTCACGTTTCCCAAAACACATCTGTTGACATTCAATTCTGTATCTTGTTTTCAGCAGCTTACGGGTGCCTGTGTTTGTGTTTAAATATTTTTTTTTAAAATCGTCACACGAATGTTACTGCTCACTTATGTGTTGAACGAATTCCAATGAAACTCGAACACTTTAAATGGTTAACTTTTAATTTAATTGTAAACGATCTTATTAGATTACTGTGATTGGTCGGAATCATTTATGCATCTCAAGAGACATTCATTCATTGGTTTAGCAAATGCTTAATTCGTATACGCAATTGGTCAGTCTCTAGCCAATGGCGTGTCTGCTCGTTCGTTTAATCTTTACATAAATATCATTTTCGAAACCTTTTAAATGACTTTCATAAAAATAAATGCTTTTTTAACGTCAATAAACTACTAGAATTCCATGAAAACAATTGTAGAATGTTGATTTAACATCTCTGAATAGTGGAATGTTGATTTAACAACGTTAAATGATTTAAATATTTGTTTAAAATACAATTTTATCAAAATGTTGGCTGCCCAAAGCAAACTTTTGTTTCAATTGAACAAATATTACAACGAAAGAGTACAGAGTAGAAAGTCGGCAATCGCAAAATCTGTTAGGGACGTCTGTAAACTGACCCAAGAAATTCTGAAAGAGGTGGAACTGCAAGAGCCACGTTTCATCAGCTCCCTGGCCGAAATCAACGGTCATTTTGAAGGATTGCGAGTCGTATCGTCAACAGAATTTGAAGTTATTCTCTACTTGAATCAGATGGGGGTGTTCAACTTCGTCGACGATGGGGCACTTCCCGGTTGTGCTGTCTTGAAGCTGAGTGATGGAAGAAAGCGTTCCATGTCTTTGTGGGTGGAGTTCATCACTGCTTCCGGATACTTATCAGCTCGAAAAATTCGCAGTCGCTTTCAAACTTTAGTGGCTCAAGCCGTCGAAAAGTGCTCCGGCTACAATGATCAGCAAGTTAAAATGCTGACCGACACAACGGACGTTAAACTGAGAATTCGAGATCGCTACATCGTTCAAATAACTCCTGCTTTTAAATGCTCTGGTATCTGGCCACGAAGCGCTAACCACTGGCCACCGATGCATCTACCATGGCCTAACGCGAATTTGGTGGCCGAAGTGAAATCGGAAGGTTTGGACTTGTTGTCGAAGGAGAGTAACTACGCGAAAGAGAAGCAATCGTCAGCAACGGAAGGAGACGCCTGGATCATTTCCTTCTACCACGTTGAGGAGATGCTGCTTCTCGGGGGCTGCCGTCAGAAATGTCTGAGCGTTTTGAAGTCGTTGAGGGACAAGCACTTGGATATGACGGGACATCCCATTGAAAATTATCATTTAAAGACATTGCTGCTGTACGAGTGTGAGAAGCACCCGAGAGAATCAGAATGGGATGAAACATGTCTCGGGGATCGCATCAACGGAATATTATTGCAGCTCATTTCCTGTCTTCAGAATCGCAAATGCCACCACTACTTCTTACCTAACTTGGACTTGTTTGGCGGGAAGCCGGCCGCTGCACTCGACGCGGCTGCTAAGCAGGTTTGGAGAATTTTAAGAGAACTAATCACTAATTCCAGAAGTTTGGAAAGATTGTAAATAAATGTTGTTCAATATGAAACTCATTATAACGATTGTAATTATTGTTTCCATTTTTAATAACTACGTTAACGACTAATGTTACAACTGTAAATTTTTTTAATTGCGGGTAACAAAATGGTTTTGTAAATTTCTTTTTGTAAGTTTGTTCTTCGTCAAACAAACAATATTTTTACAACTGATCGTTTTGCATCATTTTATTATCTAGATATTAGATTAATTCTAAATTAATTTGAAGTATCAGCAGGTATATACAACATACATTGCTGTACCAAACCAGACGACAACAAGCAGATATATGAGAAGATAAGAGACATACGGTCTCATAAAAAATGGATACTGATAGCTGAGAAGGTGCAAGTTCATGAAGGGACTGGTGTGAGGATGTTCATCATGACCGAACGGCGAGAACTGCGCAAGCCAACAGTTACACATCGCACGTACTTATTTTATGTATAATTTTCGAACTTTTCAACTATCATTAGATCGTTTTTATGAGCTTTTACTTTAAATATATAAATAATGAAGATAAAACAATTATTTTTAATTATACCCAACTAAATGTAGTTAATTCTATTAGTGGCATTACTCTCAAAAGACGGATGCTTAATTGAATTTTCGCGGTCATTTATAACTTGTTACGATGTAATTTCATACCGCTGCTCCTCCGCGCTCGCTAGTCCATCATCGACATCATGCATATTATATGAGCACAGCTGCCAATTACGTCTCCAACGTCAGCCTTTAGAAGTACTTGCCTATGTGTATTGATATACTTATACAGCATATCCCTACACATTTCATGGTATTCTGATTAGAGTTTAAATGGTTATTTTCAAACATCATGATTCATATGCAAGCGCCTGGCTACCACGTACGTAAAGGCTAATATAACGCTGCGTCGAATTATGCTAACGACATAATTCGCTATAAATTTCCTTTTGTAGTGGTAGGCAGGTAGTTAGTTACAACAGCAAATTTTTACAAGATAAATTTTTTTCGCACTTGTTTCCGATCAAAACTAGGGGTAGTTAAAAATGTATATCTATAAAATTAAGTATACATACAAACACATTACGCACAAACAAACACACGTCTCACACACGAACAAACACACCACGCATACACACACATACACACGCGTACACACACATGTAAGCACAACGGCCCGTACATAACATCCGTAACATCCATAATCACCAGTTTAGTTGTTCCAGGATGCTCGTACACGTTTTTTAATGATGATTTATTGAGCTCATGTAGCAATTTGGAGAAGAAATTTTTCAAAAAATTGTAAATATTTAGTAACTTTCGCGTGAACTTGCTGCTTTAATCTGGGTATAGGTATTTCTATCATAAACTACCAAGGTCGTTAATATTTTAGGTAACTTAAACATATTCAAACGTTGTATCAAATATATAAATAACATGAAAAAAATTTCTTTTAGAAAAGTTTGCAGCACTTGAATGCAGCAAGGAAACAATTTGGCCGTCTTGACGTGTGATTCAATTATCTGAGAGCGATGACAAGCTCACACTTACGAACGTCTGCTTATAAATAACAAGCCAAATGCTCTGCTACTGCCACCTACTCGTTGCTTTTCTACAATTTCTACGTTTTATCTCTCCTGCTTGAATGTTTTAAATATAACCAGTACTACATACCAGATGAACTGTAAAAGACTCTTGTCTCTGAGACGTGCAATTATATGATTACAACATCATGGCGTGCGATGGGACTGAGACATTTCATATAATAGTCTAACTCAGTCTGTATTGGCATGAAATTTATGAAAAATTTTCAAAATATGACGTGTCTTTTACATTTAGATGCTTTAATGTTGAATTTATAACACGTGGGCACTGGACATATGCCCAAAATTTACTTTTAGATATTTAAACCATCGCAGAAACTCGACACTTTAAATTTGACTTCACTAACACAAATGATCTGTGCGAGAACCAAAAACATTATGGAAAGCATTAGACAGCTTGCAAAGTTCAAACTTGACTACACAGTAGGAGAATAAAATAAATTAATATAACTATTTATTATATATTTTTTGTATTATAAATATAAAAATATCTATAATGATAATAACTAAGATAAATTTGTAAATTAATCATTTGTTTGTTCATTTATGCCGTAAAAAATATCTTGCTGATAAAACTAATATTAAATATCAGTAAATTGTCTATGTTACAGGTAACCACGGTTACCTGTAGCAAGATTTTTAAAATACAAAATAATTTAAATAATATTTCTAAAAATGGTTTCTATACTAAATAAAAAATTAAATTAATTAATAAATAAATAAATAGATAAAAATAATGTAGTATGTTGCTAAAAATTGGATGATCACAAAATGTTATTGATATTTAATTAATAATTGATCTCTACACCACTCAGCTGAGTATGAATGACAGCTTAACAATGGGAAGTACAATAGTAATTTTTTTTACTTAATATGCGTTTGTATACGTGTGTGTATAACTGTATACATGTGTGTGCGTGTGTGTGTGTGTGCGCGTGTGTGTATTATAAATTTATGAAACTGCAATAAAACAGTTTTTATGATACAAGATACAATATTCTCTGCATGTGATGTGTGTCATCATATTATATATATATATATATATATATATATAATATATTAAAAGGTTTAGCTATTAAATTTTAATGCTAACAAACCTATGAGAAGTCTGTTATGTTAGCTAACGTAACATTATAAATAACAGCATTTTGAATGAGTAAAAATATTACAGAGCACAATTTTTAGCAAAACTTTTTGATTTTCATTTATTTATTTGTGTGTTTTTATCTCAATAAACTTCACAAATAATTTTTGATTAACTGAATAAAGGGAATGAGTAGGTCTACTGAGACACAAAATGTACCAAGAAAACCAAAGAAATCATTCATACAAAACATTCTATCTAAATGTAATCGCAAGAAAGCCAGTGATGAAGTGGGTACATTTGAAGAGTTAACATCATCTCCACAGCCAACCGCATCAGCGCCAGCTATGGCGTTGGCAACTAATTCTGACAACGAGAAGAAAACTGACAAAACCAAACATCTCGCATTACTAATGAACAACAACAACTCAACAACTGCCAGTGAGCATGGTGATCCAAATGAAAAATCATCGAATCAAGTGGAAAATTCTTGGAAGTTCATTGAATCATGGATTAAGAGTAAGCAGCAGGAAAAACACCAGAGGCCTATTTTCAAATCTAGTTGGAAAACTATCAGAGTTTTTGTCTCATCAACGTTCACTGACATGCACAATGAAAGAGAAATACTTGTTAAAAAGGTTCATTCAAATAATAATTTTTATTTGTAATAAATTCTGACAAATTTAAATAGCTTAAATAGTGGGTCTAACTTATTCAAACAACGAAAACATGATTCATTATTATAAAGTTTCACACGCACGTGCACACGTACGCACGCACGCACGCGCGCACGCACACACACACACAAACACACACAGGTTTTCCACAAGCTAAGACAATGGTGTGAAGAGAGAAAGTTCAATTTAGTTGAATGTGATTTAAGATGGGGGGTGCCGAAAGATTCCACGAGTACCACCACTATCACTGTCTGTTTGGAAGAGTTGGATAGGTGCATTGAAGAGAATGATGACAAACCATTCTTCATTTGTACCATTGGTGAACGGTAAAATTAACTTTTTTCGCCAGAAATGTTTAAAATTTGAATCTCTTAAATTTGTTTTTTTATAATCTGTTTTCAAAAATTAATTTCCGTGCAAGGTATGGCTGGATTCCGAAAGAAGATGAAGTGAATGAGGAGATTAGGAATAAGTACGACTGGGTGCCAAACGTTTCTATCACCCACATGGAAATACTACATGGAGCCTACAGGTCATCATCATCACCATCATCATCATCATCATCATTATTATTATTATTATCTATCTCGTGATTGAACCCCAATTGAGCAATTAAACCAGTCCCTCTAAAATGTACTCACTTGCAGTGACGAGCATTTTAGATTAATGGAATTTTATAATTATTTCATTATTAATATTTGGTATTTGGAGTTAGAAAATAGAAGGATGTTTTCATCATCATCATTATTATTATTATTATTATTATTATTATTATTATTATTATTATTATTATTAATATTATTATTATTTTCTCCTAATTAATTTAAGCATTTACATATTACATGTGTAGGTTAAAGAACCCGAACGCACTGTTCTGCTTTCGCGAGCCAGATTTCTTGAAGAACATTCCAGATAAATATAAAAACAAGTTTGTTGATGAGGAAGATTTATCAGTGCAACAGTTGATGGTACGTTACAATCACACGTGCAAAACGTACCGATTTACATTTGCAGTTTTGTGTTAGATAAATTACATTATACATCGATCGAATTCTAGCCTCTTGTTTCTCATTGTATTAATTTTAAAGTCATCAAAATAAGCAGCACAAAAAATAAATTATTATTTTTCCGACCAGAAATTAAAAGAGAAGTTGAAATGTCAGTTCACTGACCAGTACTTTGATTATTCTTGCGAATACTCTCATCTGGATATGACAACGGGAAGAGAAAAGGTTCTCAACAACAATTTTCAAATATTTTTTTACTTTTAAAAAATATAAGCTTTACTGTATCAACCACAGGTGTCAACCACACGCAACCACACTCAGACACACACGCACACAAACAAACACACGCACAGTGCACACAAATAAAGCGTGAATACATGCAGCACACATATACGCTAATTTAAGTTCGAAACAGGCGTTCACAACAAAGCAGTCACACCTAAACACACACACACACACACCACACACACACACATACAAACAAACAAACACACACACACAAGGTGTTTATAAACATTCCTGAAACATTTGAAAGCAAAGTTTACGATTTCCTAACGAAAGCCATCCTCAGACAATATCCTGACAATGAAACTTCTAAAGAATTCACCAATGAAGAACAAGGTAGTCAGATATTAACTATTTAATTCAATATTAAATTTTATAAAAATTATTCTATTTATATAACGCTTTTTATAAATTTTGAATCCAATTAGGTCTTTCGTTTTGCAGGGTAGGCAAACTTTTTACTGCGAGGCGAGGGCCGCATTGAGATCTATTTTACCTTTGAAGGGCCGCATATGTTTTTAATAGCAAAGTTTTTCAACCCGGGGGAGATTTTTTTAAGATTTGTGGCTCCTTTTTTTTGGTCATAATGTCTGTCTGGCTGATAACTTTTTTTTGGCGAACAGTTTCGCAGGCCACATGCGATCCGCGGGCTGTAGTTTGCCCCCCCCTGTGCTAAAAAAAACTTTTTGACACTTAATAATTACATAATGGTTATTTTTTTATATTAAATCATGCCTTGTGGTTAAACGTTTAAAACAGTTTAGAATGAATGATTTAATTTTTTTATTTATCAAAAAAATAGCGTTATAAATTCACGAATTCTGTGATTTAATAGATAATAAAATATTTTACAAAATTCGATAAAAGATTTGTTTCCATTCCCCAGATGACTTCTCACACAATTCATTCCTCATTTTAAAGTCCAATTTCGTGGTTGGAAGAAAAGATGAGTTGAAATCCATTATGAAATTCATTGATGGTCATTACGATGATTATAAGGACGGTGATGATGTAAGTGAAATTGGCTCGTTAACGTTGAAAAAACGAGAAGAAGGAGAAGAAGAAGATGATGATGGTAAAAATCTTAGATTAGGTTTGTAATTAGTGATTGTGCTTATCAGGTTTTAGATAATTTTTTTCAAAATACTTCACGTTAAATTTATTTTTTCGAGTACCCTGTGTATGTGTTTGTTATGTGTGTTTGTTATGTGTGTTTGTTATGTGTGTTTGTTTTGGGTCTATGTTTATGTATGTTTAAGTATGTTTGTTTATGTCTGTCTCTGTTAAGTTATGTATGTTTGTTTATTTTAATTTAGAGTGTGAAAGATTTAATTTGGGTGAGCATAGCAGACGATTGCTGTGTATTTATGGTGAAACTGGGGTAGGTAAGTGCACCATCGTCAGTCAAGTTGGCAGACATTTATTGGAGGTTATTCCTAAATATTTTTTCCATTTTTTTTAAAAATAACGAGTATATATCATATTTCGTGTGTTAAATTTATTTTTTCACGTATATTTATGTACTCTATGTGTCCGCTGTTGGTAACTCTGAGAATTTGTTAAGATAGAACTGTAAACAAATTAATACAAAAGCCGTTTAATTAAATCCAACCAGAAAAATCGAAAAGTTTTCTACCATAATGTGACGTGTTCAACCAATGGAATGAACTGGAACAATGTTCTGCATAGGATGATTAGGTTCCTCTCCAATGGAAACTTTCAAGGTTATTTTTTAATACGCACTCATTTTTAAAAATGTTTCAATAGTTTGTTACATTAATTTCGTGCCGACGATTGTGTAGTTTTTCATTTTTTTGGAAATAAAATTCATAACTTTTGATGAAAATTTACTAATTTTAATGATTGAAACACTAATACTTTAAATTATTTGCAGAGATAAATGAAGAGAATTCAATGGATTTTGATTTTTTGACCAACTTGCTCTCTAAAAGTTTGATGTCAGTGACAGATGAAGTCGTTATGATCATATACGGTGTTGAAAAAGTATTTATTCAATATTCACTTGGGCTTCATTTTGAATACAAACTCTTAATCAGTTGTGATTTAATCAGTAATTCGTATTTAAATTATCATTTTGACATGAATTTCTTTTTATGCTTGGAGTTTTTACTAAGGAAAGATGGCGAACTTGCTGTAATCCGTATTTTATTTTCATCTTCCGAACTCAAGCACTTGTTCATTGAAAAAAAACGGCCTAGACCCGACGATTTCAAAATAAGATTAAAATATACTGCTCGCCACGCTTTGGTTTTTAAGCAGCTAGTTTACATCTGATGTAATTTAATCCGCAGATGGAAAACCACGACGCAACAGATTGCCTGGCCTGGTTGCCGCCACGCTTCCCCAGGAACGTGAAAGTTATCGTCTGCGTGGACAGCAAGCACTACATCTGCAACCATCGCCTTCGTAATAAGGATCCATTCTTCTTGAATGTGGATTTCTTTTCTGAGGGTGATGCCGATGAGTTCATACGCGAGTACCTTCTCAAGTTTAACAAGGTGGGATACAAATGTTTTCTTCATTTAATTCTAAATTTCATTATTATTTTATTATATAAATGATAGAGACTACTACAACAACAAAACAGAAACTCGATGCAGACCAGACGAAAAGTTTGCTGATGAACGAATCATCTCGTAGCCCCATTTGGCTCAGTATTGTCTGCGAAGAGCTTCGAATTTTTGGTGATTTTGCGACGCTTACGAACAAAATCAAATCCTTTCCATCTGATCTGAAACATCTTTTGAAGGAGGTGATAGAGAGGTTACTTAGAGAGGATGATACGAAACTACTCAACAAGGTTGTATGTGCTGTTTTAGCATTGTAACAATGTGAAATGTCTTATTTAAACATTGTGATAACATGAAATATTAAAATTACGGTAAGGGTAAACTACATTTTTAATATTTTTGATGAATTTTTCCTCCCGACTAGCTGTTGTGCCTCTTAGTTTCGTCGCATTCCGGTCTGCCGGAATCTGAAATGCTAAAACTTCTCGGAGATCCAGCCAAGGACGTTGAGATTCCTATGGTCACGTGGGCCACTCTGAAAAGCTATCTGAAACCTTTCCTAACTATGACGTCATCGTGCAATGGCAAAGTTGTTAAAGTCAAATTGTCGTATGACGCATTCATCGAGGTGAGGTAGCGTTTTCTGCTGGAACAGTTTTAGACCTTTTTCTCTTATTTATTTATTTTTTTATCAAATTAAAATGGAAGTGAAGGTAAATTTCTAATTTTACACTTTCAGGTTTTGAAATCGACATTATTAACAGAGGAGTCGAGTAAGGAATGGCACAAATACCTGGCAGATTTTTATGAGTTTTACAACAAAGATGATTATTACATCGACGACGACTTGCCTCACAATTTCCTTCATTCGGGACTCTGGAAAAGGTGAGAGGGAAATTATGTTCGAAAGTAAAATAGTTTTGCAATACTTTAAAGTTTGATTTTTACTCTAATTTTAATGCGACAATTTTCAGAATGGCAGATTTTTACAGAACAAACACGAGAACGTTCGCTATGCACGCTATCCTTCGTTCTAAAATACTCCAGGTAGGTAGCCATTATAAACTTTTGTATTTTTATTTAATTAAATTGTTTTGTCGCTATAAGCGTAATAAATTTGAATATTTCTAATCCTACTACAGCCTATACGTTGCACTCGAATGGTGAATAAGAACATACCAAGCTTCACTTATCCCGTCATGGCCTGCATGAATTGCTCGTTCAGGTCGAAAGTCATCTCTCCAACTGCACACCAGACCAAAGAACTTTGTTTGATCTGCGGCAGTTGGGTTGCTTTCAAGAAGCCAGATTCAATAGCTCACCTTTGTCAAAACCATGGATTTAATTTTAAAAACAAGTGCTTCTTTTGTCAAATGCCCATCATGTCTTCCCCTCACGTACCGAATGCCAACATGCACCTCTGTAATTTCTGCACCATGGGGAGGATTCCTAACTTGTGCTGCCAACTGCTCGATTGCCCTCCGTGATCTCATTTCGCCTTCTTTCATTTCAATTACAAGATTGAACATTTAAGCAAACATTAACAATCTTGTTGTAAATATAATTTTTTATTTTTAAGATAGAAATCTTAGCGTGCCATTTCTCGGTGCACCGGCTAGCTTGTTTTTGTGATATTTTACATTTTGACATTTCCAATAAGCTTTTGCTTTTGTTTCGTTAATTTAGCTGCTTGCGCAATTTTTTCATTTTAAATTTTCCTGCTGCAATGGTCTCATTCGTTCCTTACATTACTCGTTGACATTTTGAATTCGACATCATGTTATTCCTATTGCTGACATTTAAATAAAAAATCATAAAATCGTTAAAAAACGAGGTTACATGTAAACAAATTGGCGTAAATAAAGCCGCAAACCAAAAAATATATGATCGATCGCGAACAAAAAATGCGTGCACACAAAGCATACAACCTTACAGAAGCGTGCACACACGCGTGCACAAGTTGAAACGGACAGATACGTGAAGGACTCTTAAATGACCGACCAACAATTCAACGAATGACCGTTTAAACAATTAACGTTCCTATTCTTATCATCAATGTCCGAGTCTATCTCTACTTCGCTATTCAGTGTTTTTTACGCAGACGAAACACGCAACGAAATTATTTAGCGCTGCACTGTTGAACTTGAATTGAAATTGAACCTAAATTTTTCCAAAAAACAAGGACAACGCTCACAAACTAAAATCTTTCCATAACAGACATGCGATTGACACAATTGTTCAAAATCTAAAACTTCTCAAAAATGATATTCAAGGGTTTTGGTACAGTCTAGTGCTGCCCATATTGTACCTCTTCAAGGCTATGGATTTCAACAGTTAGTTTATTTCAAAAAATAAACAACAAAATAGAGAATGATAAAAATTTCTTATAGAAGAGGATTTTAATAGTTGCCCAAAGCCATTCAGCACAAGGAACAACAAAATCGTGAGAGCAGTAAGGTGCAACAAGATATCTTGCAGAAGCCAGCCAGCCAACCAGCCAGTCAGTCAGTCGTAGAATTTCATTTGCGGCATGACATAGAGTAGATGCATACATGATTATAAAACCAGGTATAACGCGACTTCACACCAATTTCTTTGCAGTACATACATATGTGTTTACTAATTTCAATTTGCATGTGTTTGAGTGTGTTCATGTGTGTATGTATGTGTATGTGTCTGTATGTAAGTGTATGTATCTGTATGTATGTATGTGTGTGTTTTTTGTATATAAATACAATTATACAAACAAAGTGAGAGTTTAAGAGGAATAATGAGCAAGAAAGTGAGAGTTCAAAGAAAGACAGATTGGAAAGTATTGCATATGTATATATGTATGTATTTATGTATGTATGTATGTATGTATGTATGTATGTATGTATGTATGTATGTATGTATGTATGTATGTATGTATGTATGTATGTATGTATGATGTATGTATGTATGTATGTATGTATGTATGTATGTATGTATGTATGTATGTATGTATGTATGTATGTATGTATGTATGTATGTATGTATGTATGTATGTATTTATGTATGTATGTATGTATGTATGTATGTATATATGTCATGTATGTACGCACGTATGTATGTATGGATGTATGTATGGATGTATGTACGTACGTACGTATTCGTGGCATGTACGTACATAGCAACGGATACGTATGTACCGTCAATAATATACAACACATGCACGGTTCGATCCAATGACAACAAGACTCCTCAGGGTACACAAACATTTTCTGCATTCAGTGTGCGCGTATACGTACGTATGTATGCATGTGAATGTCAATATGTATGTATGTACCTTTGTTTGTTTGTTTGTTTTTTTGCCGTGTACGTATGCTTGCAAGTTAAATAGCACCGTCAATAATAGTTAAACATCATTTTAATATTATCATTGATAATATTTGCGAATGTGTACGCGTTTGTTGTATGTTTGTGTGTGTTTGTGTGAGTTTGTGTTTGTATGTTTGTGTGTTTGTGTGTGCGTGTGTTTGTGTTTGTATGTTTGTGTGTGTGTTTGTGTGTGTATGTGTGTGTGTGTTTGAGTGTTGGGAAAGATGCGTCTTGATGTATGTGTGCGTATGTATGTTCGTGTTAATGGCGGTAAATTAATTGCGTGTATGCGTGCATTTGTTTCGAATACGTACAAAAACAGACGCGGAGTTTCATGTTAAATAAACATTATTCAAATAACATTTGACGAGCTGCCAAGATGTATAAATATATTGCTGAGCAAAATGAAAAAAAATTATGTAATAATGTATATATTAGATATGCGTGTGTATCTGTGTGAGTGTGTGTATGTGTGTGTGTGTGTGCGTGCCTGTGTGCGTACGTTCGTGCGTTCGTGAGTGTCTGTATAGTGATGATCATTGTAAGAGCAATATAAATATTATTGACACTGTCAACAGTCAACAAGTAGTCATAAGAAAAATAATTGAAAATTTTTCTTTGCAATCGATGAGATGTGGTGTGGTGTGGCGTGGCGTGGCGTGATGTGGTTGGGTGTGTGTTGAATGTGTGTGGTGTTGCCTGGTGTGGCACGATTTAGAAATACTTCTCTATTTTGATGTTTTATCTGGAATTTAAATTATAAATTATTTGATACTTTAAATGATTAGATCGATTTAAAAAAAAATGTCAAAAATGAATTTTTTTTATATAGAATAAGAACTAAAAATTTAAAAATATTATCGAAAAATCGATAAAAAAAACATCAGAATATTTAAGGCTTGAAAAGGAAAGCATAGTAAATGTAAAACTCCTTTATAGCTCCATCGTAACTATCTATAAAGAAATGTCAACCGACCAGGGAAACCTACACAAACAAACAAACGAACGTACAAACGAACGAACAAACGAACGAACGAATGAACGAACAAGCAAACAGACGAACAAACAAATAAATGTTAACAAATAACTAAAGACCAGCAAACAACCTCATGTATACAAAAGCAAAAACACCACTTACACATACACACACACACACCACACACACACACACACACACACAACAATACACACACACATACACACAGCGTACAATAAACACGTAAACACATACACTGATGTATGCACATACACGAATTCGCATGCACATTAATTTTTTCTATTTTTTTCTATTTGTTTATTTGTTATCTTTCTTCTTTAAATTCCTCTTTTCTGCCTATGTAATGTTCCCCAGAGGTACAAATTTATTTACGTTCTAAATTTATAATATTTATTTCAAACTTACGCGAAAACACGCGCGCGCACACATACAAAGGGTG